CAAACTGTGTCATGTGACCGACTAATTTGACTCAATGGGTTTTTCTAAATTATTGCGTCTAGCAAACGATTTTATTTACAGCCATTGACTTGTCCAGAGTTGAACACAAGTATTATTTAATATAGCAATCAGTGACAGTAACTGTAATTCTTATTAATGAAACTGAAGCTTTAAGTGCATATGTGTGGCACTTCAGCTGCTCTTTAATTACACCTTGTTATTACTCTGGTAATTGTGCACTGGGTGTTTTACATCTTTTACCTGTTTGCCAGTTTTGAAAACTATCCTTCAACTTTAAAACCTTCTCAAGTTCCGTCCAATTTTTTCCCCCTTGTTAAATGCATACCAGCCTCATGTAGGGCTAGTACAGACATCAGACTTTGGGCCACACGAATAAAGTGGATTTTAATTCATTAAAATTAATTAAGTTAATAATAGAATAAAATGAAACAAGTTCAGAGCTGCTTTTCAGTGGGTTATTATGGCCAATAGACTCTTGTCCTCCCTGCAGAACTGGTACAGACTCTTGTCCTCCCTGCAGTGCAGTCGGGAAACAGCACTGGTGGGTTTATCTTTTACCATGACACAAACTCACAGAAACATACAGAGTATAGAAGGTAAATGATGAGACATTGTCAGTGTTAATTGGCGTTCATAAAACTTTCCCGGAGGTGAAAAATGTGTCCAGTCTTTCAATCTGATCTGTCCTTTAGTTAAATGCCAGCCACCTTGTTTACAAGGTGTACATGCACATACAGTAGTGTGTGACTGCAGGGCTAGAGATTCACAGGAATTGGCTAACAATGAGAGACTGAAGGTGTGCCACTCCTGGCTGGATGACTAAGACATGAATAACCACGGGCAGTTATTCCCACCCAGTAAATTCCACGTGTGAGTCAGAGACACGTTAAATTAGGAGACGGGATGACAAAAATCTGGCAGCTTGTCTTCGATGATACGTCGTTATTATCTTCACTGTCACTTAACCCCAGGTGGCATCTACGTGAGTACAGTAGTAAAAAAATAACTCATACCCAGTGTTAGGGCAAATTAAACAGCCTACAATGTAAAGTAATGTATTTAATTGAAAGGTTTAGAAATAAATAAATAAGACTTAATAGTAGTTAATTAGATCAGGTCAGGATAAACGGTTTGGCTGGCGTTTTCTCCAGATACTGAGGCTGAGGTTCACTTCCACAGTCCAAAACCATGCAGGATTAGGTCACTTGTTCACGCTACACTGACCACAGGAATGAATGTTAGTGTGAATGGTTGTTTGTTTCTATATGTGGCTGTGTCATGGACTGGTGAACTCTCCAGGATGTACCTGTCCTCGCCCAATTCTGGTGGATTAGCTCCAGCCCCTCCCTAACGCTGAAAACAGGTAAGGACAAATTAATAAACTTGACATGAATTTTTCAATTGTTAGTGATTGCTGTGAACTTTTACCAAAGCAAAAAAAAAATTCTGAATATTACATGAATTTACATTTCTAATGATTTTTCAATCGTCGTCTTTCAGTCAAAATGTTGTTCATCTACCAGAGAATTCTGTCTGTTTGCACCACTTCAAACTGTACTGTCAATGTTAATGTCCTATTTGTCCTAGTTTTTTTTTTCAAACACTCAGCTCTCACAACGTTAAACAAAGAGGATGGGTATTTAGGCCTTGTGTGTTACAGCTGAGTCTGCAAACAACCAGTTGAAGGAGAACAACTCCATCAAATGTCCTTTAGGTTGAAAACGTTGCAGTGTTATAGAACACTTTCCCCCTGGTTTCCTCAAAATGTCACCATAGCAAATCATCCAGTTTATTTTGACACCACTCGTTAGATTTGGTAGAGGTTGGAGTCACTTATGGAAAATCCTTTGGAATAACACAACACCAAATCTACCCCACAGGGATCATTTTTATAGTGTAAATAACATGGTTGTGACTTGTCAGTATTGTTTTTGTAACAATGGTAACATTACTTCATGACTGCGTCTTCTATGACGACAAGCATGATATGGATGTAAACCAATGGAGGCAATAAAAAATAGTTACATACCTCGCCTTGAGTGGACCATGCTATATCACTCTCTGAGGACTGGTTGCATATTAAAGCAACACCTCTGTAATTCAGTGATGCTCTGCAGTCTGATGACAGCCCTGACAGTTTGTTTCCAAGGCAAACCTTAAAAGCAGCCTCCCTTTTTGCATTAAAAACAGAACATCAGATCAGGACCAAAGGCCCGTGAGGCCTTTCCAAACGTAAAACTTTTTATTACAGCGGTAAATACGACATGTATATATACACTATATATTATAAATGTTGATAAATGTGCGCTCTTTACATAAAACACATGGTAGAGGCATTAAAACTGACTATAAACTTGAGTAAAAACACAGTAAAACACACTCGTTTGTTTCACTATTCTTATTAGGACTGCACTGACTTCCATTCACACTGAACCTGTTCAGGTTATGACCAATAATTTAATATCTCTATTCTGTAATCTGTTGTGAGATGTTATTGTTGCTTTAATGATTCTGCTTTTGCTTGGTGTTTGTACAGTAGAGCAAATAGGCAAAAATATGTTGTTTCACAAGGAATAGGTAGATGCAACCAGTCTCCTGAAAGAGTACAGTTTTTTACAGGGATAGTCAGAGAGAGCTATAGAAACCTACCATATTTTTCAATGAAAGAAATTGAAAATGTAAGTAGAAAATGTTTGTTCTAAAATATCATCACAAGAGCTTTGTAACATGACCTGTTTTAATAACAGTACTTGTGACATTAAAAAGCTATTTCAAAATGAGTTATTTCTTTAACTGTTTTCTACAGGTGTATAACAATAATTTCCTTGACAAATTATTTTGTTTCAGGGCATTTTTGGGCAACCCCCAGCCTATTTTTAGACCTGGGAGGACCCCATGTGCAACAGCAGGCTATGTCCAATTTTAGCTTTAGAGTTTCATGGAAATACCCGGCTTCATTATGTTTATTCAGAGTCAGTAATGACTTTAACTATACACTCATTACTTTTTTATGCTTACAGACTAATTAAATAACTTAGGCCTGTGTACAGATTAGCACAGGTTTACGTGTTGAATGCAATATTAAAATGATACCAACTCATAAACGAAGTTCTGCCTTTTACGCAACACACACACAGGTCGGTGGAGTCATTCTCTTGGATGATTGGTTGAGGAAAGACAGGGCGGGACTTCCGTTAACGCAGGTTGGACATAAAGTGACAGACTTCACCTCTCAAAAATTGGAAGAAAACTCGAAGGACGTCCTGTTTCAACTTTCAAAACAGTAAGAAGTCAATGTAAGACAGTTGAGTTTTGACTAGTGTCAGTGTTAAATGAACTTTGCTCGAATTTAGTTTATATTATTCGCCAAACGCGCGGCGACACTATGACTCTGGGATCAGCCGGCCCACAGAGTCCTGGCTGGTAGTTTGGGAAACGTGGTGCTGCATTCGCTGTTGGCTCGTAAATCGTAGAACCAGCCCTAAACAAAAACATTGCGATACGTCTGTTGTTTCGTTCATCTGTGTTGAATCATTTTAGTCACCCTTACATTTAAGTCAGTTGAAATCGAACTCTTAGCTCGAACAAAAGGTTTCCATTCGCCCGTAACGCTAAAATGGAAATGTGTCGTTATTCAAAACGAAAGTGACGTTTTCTTCCGCTGTAGCTTAAGAACGAAGGTAAAAACAACCGAAATAGTTTTAAAATTTGTGATTTGCTTGTTACCATTCACTTCACTGTATTTTGTAAGTTGCGTTCAAAAGAGTTATTTAACAGTAAAAAAGCCACACTACATTTTAGTACGAACACACACGTTAAACATCAACGTTATGTAGCCTGTTAGTAGTATTGAGAATTGTATTTATATTTAGTCTCTTTTATTGTACTTTGAAATACATGAACCTCGTTTATCCACGTAATGAAGACATTGTCTGGACATACAATCTTTTCTAAGATAATAATATGTCAAAACAATAGTTCCTAGCCCATGTTAGCAAATTGTATCATAAAGATAGTGTATTTAATATAACCAAATAATTATAAAATATACAGGAAGTCTCATGGCCCTGGGTAGAAACCACTGGTCCTGTGACCTACGACCCGATAATATAAATGTTCTAGCTAACATTAGCTAACATAACATAAGTGTTTCTATATTTTATCAGCCGATGTTTTCCATTGTATTCTACCTATGTAACCTGTCAAAAGACTGGTAAACTTTAATAAGACCACCATGGTATATTAGCAAAAGGGAGGGATATCAGAAAGATATGTCTTTCACCAATGCACTTCTTAAAAGACCATATCTGTTTTTTATGTCCAAACCACCAATATCCACTGTATTCCCATAACAAGAGTTAAAATAGTACAGTGTCTTCCAAGAAATTACCCCAAATCCCTCCTTACATCTAGTGTGAATATGACAAATTTGTCTGGTTTTATGACAGGAGGCTCTGTTGTGTTACCATGTTTTAACATTAGCACACAGTAGGCAAAAAAGACACAATGTGTGTTTTCAGTGGTGTTCACAAACAGAATCCCTGGGAGTGATTGATGTGTTTAGTTCTGAAATTCATTCTCTAGTAGAAGCAACAGGTTTACTGTACTGACATGGCAGAAAATCAAATATCAATGTTTCTAGGTGTTTAAAATTGTTTTTAACACTTGATGTTATTAAGTGTATGTTATTATCTTGTTATTGTTTTACTCAATCCCACACACAACACCTTTAAAATCACATTTTTTTCTGCTGTAAAGTAAAAGTAATGTTAAAATTAAAAGTTAATTTCAAAATCACTGAACAAGTTAATTAAGACTGGGTGTGTCAATTGCACGTGACCTTTGTTGTTTTTTTAAACTTAAGTACCATAACAACAAAGTCTCCTTAAGTCCTCAGTAAAACTCAGAGGTCACCTGACCATCACAGGCTACCACCAACAGGGGGCTGGTGTTGTACCTTCAGGCGGTGTACAGTCACTGTCCACGCCTTTGCTTGTCTGTGGAATGTGGGATTCAACCAAAATGGAAAAGTACAAACACAAAAGGAGAAGAGTTTGGGCTTATGAACCAAACCCAGGTCATTCTTGTTGTCACGCAACAGTGGTAATCATGTTGAGGTCAGAGATGTTTTCGCTCCTTCTGCTTATGGCTTTTATGACCGCACTAACATTTAATTGTTCTGGAGTTGTTTATCACGGTTGCTGTGTTAGCTGTGTGCGTCAACAATAGAGGTATCCCTGATGATTACTCAAACACATCTATCAGACCTGGAGCTTGTGCAATGTTATTTTATTGCTTCATTTTCTTTTATATCTCTGTTGACCGAACAATCAGGAGCCATCAGGTACCAATGATTTTTCGCTAAATAAGACCCAGAGTATGTCATTAATGGTAATAGGTACTTTATGTCAAGGTAGTAATCCCCTAAACATTATTATATTTTTAAAATTTCTGTTTCTTTTTAGTCTGTAATGAGTTTAAGACATGGACGACATAAACCTTCATTATCGCTTTTTGAACTGGAGGAGGCGAATCAGAGAAATCCGTGAGGTGCGTGCCGTGCGGTACAAGGAGCGCCTAAAGAGGATGCTTAGAGACGGCGACATGCTCAGGTAACCATGATTATAGTATTATTATGTAACCAACTCAAACAATGTATGTGTCAGTTGTGTGGACAATCTTCAGTATTTCGTTATTGTCATAGTCATATACTTTTCTTTTGTAGGTATCATGGGAATTCCGATGAAGTTGGCTGTTTTGTGGCAGCCAGGCCTTTGTCGAAAAGAAATCACTACTTTGAAGTAAGTGCTGATAGTTTCGCGTGACCATTTATTTTGAAAGAAAAACAAATAACAGCCATGAATTGGTCACGGTTACACAAATTATTTGAGGATTTGGTTTTAATTTGAATGTTTCCTGGCTTCAGTGCTTGACTCTGCCTCATGTATTTGGCCCATATGCTGCGTCTTAGGTTGAGACCCTCCTTAAACCATAACTCAAGCTGCTATTAAACAGCTGTGTTTGACATTTGCTTTCATGATTTTCTTTTTTTAGGAAGCGTGAATCTGTGTTCTTTACTGCAGTTAGCATGTACAATGTACACTGTAGTTCAGTGCAGTCAGTCTTCCTAGTAGAGTGTATTGAGTCTCTATCGTTGAACTTTTGTCCATTCTCAGTAGAGATTCAACAATATTGGGTTTACATTTACAGCTGAACATCTGTAGTTCAGTGCAGTCAGTCTTCCTAGGATTTTTATATTTACTTCACCTCAGTTTTGTTAAGTGATGCATACGTGTTGATATTGATATAGGATGGAGCTTTCTCATGTTTTTAGAAGTATATTTGCCGTACTTTTAGCACTAATTCTAACTGTAAAAACTGAATTCTCTGCTTCTGCTCTCAGTATTGATGCAAAACTTTTTCAGTCACCCGTGGACCTTTGGACACTTCTCAGAAATTAAATGGCTTCCTCTTTCTGCTGCAGCCAAGAAGTTTCTTTATTTGACTCTGAACTTCTGATCTAGAGATATTTCCTCTGGTATCAGTGGAAAAATACTGTGCCTTAGATTTCCCTTGGTAGACTTTAATGTGGCATTAATGTATTGACTCAATTTTGCTGTATCTTCATGGTGTAACCATATTGTAAATATGCAGCCATTTTCAGGTTTAAAATCAAATTTCACGATGCCCTTGTTTGACTTAACTTATGCATAGGTTATTACTGATGCACACTTTGGGAGAGTCAGATGGTCCAATGTTATAATAACAAGAGCTCCTAACCAGAGAAATGCAAAGCCCATTGTACTAACAAGGACTATGTTCTATAACATATGCTTAGGTATGAACAGGAGGCAACGATCGAGTTGTGACCACATTTCTAGGCGACGCACTCTTGTTTCATTTTTAAAAGCTAATGCACCAGTATATACCCACAGAGCAGATTTATGTGTTTGGAACAGGGTATCAGGATGCTGACCTTTTGTTAGAAATCACTTCAACCATTATCTGGCAGAAATCCTTCTCTCAGTATTAGAAAATGACTCCAGTATAAACCACAGGGAAGATAAATTGCCATCAGATAAATGGCTGCAGCACACACTGTAGACGACACTATAGCTGAGCTATATTGTGTTTGTTACTCTGCAGACTCAATTTTGATGCAAAGAGCTTTCTCATCCTGCCACTGACAGATTGATTTCAGAGAGGAAGTCATCGCTCATTACAAATCATGTGCTGTTTTGTTGATTCTCCCCGTCTCTGATTTGCACACTGATGTGCACAAACACACTCAGCATTCTAACGCAGAAGCCCTGTACAAACTTGCCTGACACATCCTGGCCCAGTCTGACGTGCAGTGAAACGGTAACTAACACTGTTAACCTTTACACTAATGTGCGCTTCATCATCATGACTCATTTTTTGGGAGTCACGGAGGATCAGGGAGGAAGCAATTTGCGTAAAATGGATATATGAGCCAATACATGATACTGAAGAGGACATGTGATGGTAGGCCTACAGGTTTTGCACTGACACAGACAAATCAGAATTTAGTCCTTCTCAGGAGACGAGCATTGAGGTCATGGGAAGGAACTTGAAAATGTCCTTCTCCTGTTGCCCCGTGTCTGCCAACAGTGCCTCAGTTACTGCACGTCCATCTACAGCTCCCTGGGGATGATGTCATAATCTCAGTATTCTGTTATGATAACATTGGATTGGGCCAGCTCTTTGCTTCGGGGTTTTCACTTTGAACAATAATGAGGTGTCATACAAAAGTGATACTGTGAAGGTCCAGGTTTGTGTGGAAACTCTGTGAAGTGAAGGAAGAGGTGGTGCCAGCACAAAATGAAAATACAGTGTAATGGCCTTTTTAACCCAAGGGCGGAGCCAGATTTCCCTGCTATCAAATCCATAAAACTCATAATGAGGAGGGAGATTACAGTTGATCATATTTGTTCCAAACTAGTTATGTCATTGCCTGGGCCACAAAGAAGGAATATCCCCGAATATAATGATCTATCGACGTCTGAGCTGCGTTTTTTTTTCTATGGTTTTGGATTAGCACGTAAAGGCACACCATTTAAATGGAACTCGAGTATTTAATTTTGTATTTAATTCTATCTATCTATCTATCTATCATCTGCTTCAAATCTCCATTAAAACATGCATTTAAACACCGTAAAAATCTACCTTTCTTGCTAAACAAAGGATAAAACATTACAAATCTGTGTATTTTCCCCCAATGTGGCATCAATAAATCAAATGTCGGGGGCTCTGGGGGCACTGCCTCAAAGCATAATGCCATAGTTGTAATGCCAGAAAATGTTAAAAGTTGGTTAAAAACTGCAAACGTGTGCCTAAATTGCAGTATGACAAAAGTTAACCTAGGGGGCAGTTAAACTCCTGATTGGATCATTGCCCAGTAAATGGTCCAAATCGCCCTCAAAACTTAAATCAGAGCAGGAAGAAACACTGAGGTAAAAAAAGTTAAGATTTTTAGCCCCATGGCAGACCATAAAAGATAATTTTAGGAACGTAGTCAGGAGCCACAAAGTGTTCCAAGTACAAAAATGTTCCCCCAGGCTGGACATGGGCACACCGGGCCTGTGTCAAAGAACTATCTGTGCTATGTATCTGTTTTCATAATGAACCTACCAGGCAACATGGCCAACATAATCAGATGGAACCTACAGATTATTAAACCACGATATTAAATAGATCAGCCTGTCGTGTCTGCGTGTAATAAATGAGACTCTGTGTATCTGTGCAGGTGACCATCGTTGATACAGGGGTGAGGGGGATGATCGCCGTGGGTCTGGTCCCTCAGCTCTACAAACTGGACCATCAGCCAGGCTGGCTCCCACAGTCTGTGGCCTTTCATGCTGATGATGGCAAGTACGTGTCACTGAGGTTACACACACACACAACCTGCCTAAAATTATTAATGGATAAACTTAAACTGATCTCAGAACAGATACCTGTGTGTGATCAACTATCTCTGTCTACATTTGTCTTTTTATATATATATATATATTTTGTTACACATGAAACTCTTCTCTCCATTTCAAATGAATCAAATTTGGTAAATGCTATAAAGTAAAACAAAGACCAGAATAAAGTGTCATGTTATATGTTGCATACAGTGTTAAATAAATATATATATATATATATACACACACACACACCCTCGGTGGGCTTTCCAACAGACATTTCTTGCTCTTGTCCAAAGCCGCTCCAACACGTTCACTCACACCTCTGAGTGAAGGTTCATAACAACACCAAAACAGTTGCCTTCAGAATAAAAGCCTTGTATTTCACTCACCTGTTACAGTGTAATCGTTGTTGTAGTTGCACATTATTTGACTTTTTAAAATAACAAAGCATAACAATGATCTCGAGCCAGTGACAAGACTTCTGACTGTCTTGTCTTCAGACTGTATAATGGCAACACTGTGGGACAGCAGTTTGGTCCCAAATGCTGCAGAGGCGACAGAATCGGCTGTGGAATATCCTTTGAATCTGATGAAGGACAACTGACGGTGTTCTTCACCAAGAACAGTAAAGAGGTAAGTTCTCCGTCAGCTCCACTCTGTCGATCGCAGAACACATCGAATCGTCAACATTTGATTTTATTGTTTTTCCTGAGGGCGTGTGTGTCATTTGTATTAACAGGTCGGCAGTGTTGAGATCCCGGCGTCTCCTGAAGGGCTGTACCCCGCTGTGGGAATGCACTCCCTGGGAGAAGAAGTTCTGCTGGACCTGAACGCTGAGTGGGGGATGGAGGAGGATGACGGACAGATGATTGTGGACAGTCATGAGGAGGACTGGAGCCGTCTCCATGACATCAAGGTGACCGGGGTGGTAAGTCCCATTAAGTTTACTGCAAATAAAGGTAACATAAAAATTTAAAAGGCTGTCTCCCTCGTAAAAGTTCACGCAGTGTAATGACTGACCTCAGTGAAAGGGAAATGAAAAAGTGCCAGATTATTGGGCCAGTGGACTTCTGAGGTTTAATTAAGGTTGGCTGCTCAAAGAGTCCTCGTGCTCCTTCATCACTCATGTCAAACTGCAGAGTTGCATTGCAGGTAAATCGATGCCATATCCACAGAATGGGAAAAGTAAAAGGAGACTTATCACCCCTGATTCTGATTCACTTTTTAAAAAAAAAAATTTGTCACTTTGTGAAGGACGTTGACCAAACCAGAGGACAGCCCTGTCGGTGATGTCATCATCATTTGGTGTGCACTAACGCTGCTTTGTGCTAATTGCCCAGAGCAAAAACAGTCTCCAACATTTGAGCCTGTCTGAATGATTGTTGTATCACCACACCAAAGGACAAGAAATCTATTCTCCGCTTGAAAGTGAGAGTCCGTTATAAGATGGGACAGGAGGAAGTTCACCACTAGGTGTACCATTTTGTTACACATGAAACTCTTCTCTCCATTTCAAATGAATCAATTTGGTAAATGCTATAAAGTAAAAAAAAGACCAGAATAAAGTGTCATGTTATATGTTGCACACAGTGTTAAAACCAGTGGACCCACCAAACCTCAGCCTCTAATCTTTTTTATCAACAATTTTAAGTAGTTGAAACCAAACCACAAAGATGTCACTTTAAGACACGGCTTCTGGGTTTTTTGTATCTCCCAACTCCCACTTTCTTTGGGAAAATGTTGATTGACAGAACAGAGTGTAATCAAATATTGTAAATATTATCTGTTGCTAAGAAACCACATTAAGATTAAGACAAAAAAATGTTTTTGTTTTTTTGTTTTTTTTTTCAAAGTGGAGCTCAGTGATCGTGGCTGTGTCTCTGACCTCTGTGTGACACAGAGACTGTGTGAGTGTGTGTGTGTGTCTGACTCAGGGCTGATACACAAAGAATCCCGAGTCACAGATGATGGAAGGAACTCATCAGTGAACAGCCCTGAGGCTGAAGCGGATAACGTGCCCTGCCACCCACACATCTATTTACCTATTCATTTGCAAATCTGTCTCTGCCCTGGGAGATGGCAGGAATTAAAAACCACAGTCTGAACTCCCTGTAACTCAACAATTAACACCTGTGTTCATCCAGATACTTGTCAGGATGAAGATGAAAACAAAAGTGTTAGTTTTAATCCTGACTGATGACTGTGTCCTGATCAAGATCAGAACCTGATTTTCTCATCGAAAAACACTAAGAAACAAAACCTGTGACTCGAGATGACTAGTTACTGTACATCCAACAGTCACAAGACACACGCACGCACACACACGCTTACACACAAACAACTAGGTAAGAAGCTTTATATGAGCTTACACACAAAAACAACTAGGTAAGAAGCTTTATATGAAACTTTTGTCAATTTAAATGAGTTTCAATTTTAGTTTCTACCTAAAATGAAAAAAAATATTTGTCAACCATCAAGGATGGGGAAAAACAATACATTTCCATCACTGTTTAAAAAAGTCCATCTAGCAGTAACTTGGTTTTTAATCTTCTTAAAATATCGTGACTAGTGCTGTACAACATGTTCAACAGATTAATGTCTCATCTGTTTCCTTTAAGATATCACTGCTCATTCTGTTTCTGTTTCTGTTTCCTTTAAGATATCACTGCTCATTTGTTATAACTAGTATCCTGACAATCCTAAAAACAACAAAAAGCCAAATTTCCCCTTTGTGCAGGCAACGATTCCATATTTCTGTTAATCCACCGACTCGGAGCAAGTTTCCTGGCCAGAAAACAAATTCAAACCCCATAAACTGAACCTTTAATCCCTTTAGCATTTATTACGCCTGGATCCTTCATCTAATTAGACACAGGTTTGAATGTCGACGTGAAGGTGCAGTAATCATTTGTTTATTAAGACCCTTCAACTCTACTATGGCCTACAACTAAAGAAGAAGTGGCTGTGTTGTTTACAGATGACTCACTCAGTGAGTCACTCTCAGCTTTCATCCAACTGACTCAGACTGGTGGTGGTTTGTTTACCTCCTTGTTATGTCTGCATAAAGAAGTGGATGATGGGAGACGTAAACACGTGTTTTCTTAGAATTCAGTCGGACAATAAATGTCATGTATTGTCAGACTAAGGTATATCCAAACATGTGGAAGTCCGAGGTTAATCCCGCTGTTAATCCCATGTTTGGATCCGTCAACTGGGAGATTAGTTGGCCAAACAGCTTGGACACTCTTAAAATACCCAGCATGCCTTTGTTTGAACATGTCTTCATGTTTACGTTGTTGTCATCCTGTGATTACGAGAGTGTGGCTGTTGTAGTTAAGTAGAGAATCTACAGCAGGCCGCAGTGACTTCTAATGCTGTATGTCATGCATGATGTTGTGACCTAACTTTCCACGTAGCTTCTGGATGTGGGCCACATCCGGCAGTGATGCATTAATCATGACTATCATCCAGCCCAGGTGGCCTTTGTTTAAAAAGACAAATGTCTCTAAACAGCTGTGATGGTTTTCTGTCAAATAATGTGGTTTCCTCAACGATGTGCAGGCTACCAGGCCTTTGAAGAACCGGGAAGTGAGCAGATGCAGTCTATGTTTAAAAAAAAAAAAAAAAAGTTCTTCATTTGCCTGCAACTGGTGTGTATTCATATAATTAGTCACACATTCAGTTTGTTGCTGTGGTTCCTGTGGTGTGACCTGGTGTTTTCTCACAGAGACCAGGTTGTTCTCCACCTGCTGTTAACCTTAACCCATTCTGCATTATACTGTATTGGGTCTTAGGAAACACACAGTGCTAAAACTGGAACAGAGGGATCTATACATTTATAATCACTAGAGAAGAAAGAATTCAATGAACAAACACCATTACATTTGCATGTTAATGTTTTTTTTATTATTTAAAAATTAAAAAAACAATACAGTGATGTATAATATTGATACAGTAGAATATCAATACAGTATCAAAATAAAATATTGCGATATATTGACATATCGATACTTTCTCACACCCCTAGTATTTAAGTGTTGTGTTTCTCAGTAAAGCTCTGTGGTTTTTTCATTTGTAAAGTTGCATCATAGTGGGACTGTTATTTCCTCTGTTTTGTTACAATATATGCAAAAATAATATTCATATATCCCTTAAGTCCACTGTTTTTGTGGTGTCACTGAGTCAAGTGAAGTCGTGTCACTGTCTGGTGTATTATGGTTGTAACTGAAAGACAGTTTTGTTTTGTTTTTTTTAATCCATGTCCCCCTCACTCGTCCAAAGACAACTGCTGCGTAGCTTGATGACTTCCTGATTCATCAGCTACTCCATTAAGTGGATATTATGTGGCTAACTTTGGCAGCTGCAGTTGTGACATTAGCACAGGTGTCGGCCACCTCTGTTGTCCCTGTTGACGTGGACACACTGTGACTGGATGGTCCTCACATCCTGGCGTTGGCAGTTAGCTTCATGTATCACAATATTTAAGGGATAATATATCAGCCAGGACAAATAGTCGCGGTGACAGGTCTATATGTGGTGTAGTATTTATTTAACACGATCTGGTTTGTATATGTCACCAGAGCTGATGTCATGTAACTGGAAGAGGCTCTCACAGAAAAACCTCCATCAGAGGAAAGGCACTGTTTTTGTTTAATGTCACTCATTTTGAACAGTGCGGTATTAATTTTGTCTACAATGACCAGGATGAGGCTCGTCGTCATTGGACGCACATATAATTTTACACTGACATGAAACAATAAGGTCTCTGGCAAAATTTGAATCCAAGAACCTTAAAGGATCCACTATTGAAAAATGTTACTGTGTGTGTGCTCAGCTGCTGGAGTACGTGGGCAAAGGCAAGAGCATCGTAGACGTGGGCTTGGCTCAGGCCCGCCGGCCCCTCAACACACGCTTTCACTACTTTGAGCTGGAGATCACAGATGCTGGAGAGAAGTGTTACATCGCCCTGGGTCTGGCACGCAGGGTGAGTGAACGCCTCCTCCCCTCATCACTCACCATAATAAAAGTCCTGAGAATCCTATCTCACAAACGCTAACCTGTCTGTGGTTTTCCCCAGCTGACTCACCTTGTCACCCCCCTCCTCTCTCGCTCTCTCTGTCTCTCTCTCACTCTCACACACACCGCTGCTCTCACTGTTTCCAGTCTAGGTGATGGATGACCCAGAGGGGAAAAGCTAACAACAAAATAAATATTGTCTCATTTTAGTCCCACCTCTGGTTTTCCATAGAAAGCAGGTTCTACATTCATGCCAACTAATCATGTTAATGACAGCACAGTGGACACGCATGGAAAAGAGAGTTATGATATACAATGTTTTTTCTTGTCCTATTTTTCTCCCAATTTCTCCATAGCCTATATTAAAGACCTCAGCAAAGACTTTTACAACAAAGTATACAGTAGAGATGATTGAGCTGCTTTAATCATCACGTAATGAATTTCCATTAGTTTTAATGTATAAAAAGCAAATAATACGACTCGGCTTATTTGGGGTAAAGAAACTAGGAAAAAGTGGGGTTTTTTTGTGTGTTGACTAACATAATTATAACTAGATTGTCATTCTAATCTCACAGCATGGGAAACATATTGAGATAGCATGTACTTGATGATTGTTTATATAGATTAATTTCACGAAGCAAAAATCATGTTAGTTACCATAATTTTATTTTACTATACTATAAGTCACGCGTTTATTGAAGTTTGGCTGGTCCTGACACGTATGTTCCGTAGCAACTGTGTAGACGATGCTCTCATTGGCCACAAGAGGGCATGGTCTACACTTGTTGTCATCTAAACGCTGCTATTGCGCCACAGAAAGTTGACTAAACCAAAAATACTTCGTTAGACAAGACGAATAAAAAAAACATAAAGCGGAATTTAAACTGCTGATAAAAAAGCGTTTCATTTTCCTCTGAAGTTGGCAGTTTGGAAGCGACACTGTGAAGTTCAGTGATAGCTACAATACCATCGGCTGCTTGTAGAAGTTGCTAGCGTGTTACGTTAACATAGTTAGCCTTTAGCTCTTTCCAGATTAAAAGTTTGTTCTTGGATTGTTGTGAAATAAATGTTTTAAAAATGAATGTCACATATAAACAGGTGCGACTTGTGGGCTTTCCCACCTCCCCACGACACATTTTTTAACATAAGATAATGAGATGTGTCTCGGAGCTAAGCTAAAGCTTCCGAGAAGTTTATCGGGTCAGTGAAACTAATGGCGGACTCTGGTCATGTGACTAACGGTCATAAACTTTCTTCATTTGTTGACAGGACTATCCTAAAAACAGACACCCAGGTTGGAGCAGAGGGTCCATAGCTTATCACGCAGGTAAGTGGAGGTCAATTATGGTTATGGTCGTGACTGTGTTCATCATAACATCAAACCCAGACACAGAGCAGTGAACTAACAAGATATATTTGGACTAGAACACTGAGTAGAGTTGTGTGTGTCTCTTTAAATAGTTAAGAAATAGTTTCCCCATCGTTGTTTTTGTCTATCTTGGCAGATGATGGGAAGTTGTTCCAGGGCAGTGGGGTTGGTGATGCGTTTGGACCACGCTGCTTTGAAGGAGACATTATGGGCTGTGGGATCATGTTTCCACGTGACTACGTCGCTGATGCTGCAGGTGAGTCCGTTTAAATTTTCCAGGCACTCAGCATGGTAATCTGAGTCACTTCAGACAAAAAACAAACAAGCAAAAAAAAAAAAACAAACACTAAATCACACCTTGTTTAAATATGTTTTGTCACTCCAGTTACAGTGATGCTCAGGTCAGTGCTAATTTGTCGTAAGTTTGTTTGGCAGATGCAAAGAAGAAACACAGGATGCGATGATTTTTTTTTAAGCCCAGCTTAGAGGAGAAATACAAAAGTATCTTAAATAATTTGACTTTAAAAAACCCTGCAACGGTTGCCCGTTGATGTAATGTAATTATTTGTACGTTAGTAATTAAATGTTTCCCTTTAACCTAATTGTTATTTTCAAGTACAGTAACAGTCCGTCCTTCTTCCTCTCTGTGCGGTTTCCTTCAGACGACTTTGATGACTGGGAGCTGGACGTCTTCCCGAAGCCCTGCGAGGTTCAGAACGACTTGTATGCAAATAATGAAGAAGAAGAGGAGGAGGGGGAGGAAGAGGAGGAGGGAGATAACGTACAGGGGAGGAAGGTGACGGTGAGTGGCCGTCCGAGTCGGCAACATGAGGCCAGTGACCCTTGCGGTCTGAGTGTGGACCTCTGTATCATTTCTCTGCTGCCGTGTTGTGTTTGCACAGGTCTTCTTCACACGTAATGGGAAGGTGGTAGGTCGCAGAGAGGTGGGCTTACCTGTGGGGGGCTTCTACCCCACCATTGGCATGATGAGCACTGGTGAGAAGGTGAGAGTGGACCTGCACCCTCTGAGTGGCTGAGCAGAGAGGAGGGAAATGAAGAGGCTGGAATTAAAGCAAAGGACAAATCACTGAGCTCAGGTACATGTTGTGATTGGACGTGCAGTAACACCTCCACGTCTGCAGGTGTCACCATAATGTTTGGACACGGAGGAGTCCGTGTGGCTGCTCCATGCCTTCAGAGTTATTTAACAATCTGTTTTAATGAAGATATTGTCAAGACAATGTTTTCATTACAGTTGCTGTCAGTGACCTTCTCTCACTCCTGCACCAGAGCTTTAGCCACCACTGATAGCAGCTTCAATATTGACACATGTGCATAATGGTTACTTTATAATGAAATCATTCTTTACTGTAACAACACTTTTTCACCAGCCTGGTGTTCTAACACTGCAGTGCGTAACTTTGGGTGAATGTGACCTGTGTGTGGAACATTACTGCAGTGGTTCCCAAAATGGGAGGCGGGGCCCCCCAAGACAGCAAAGGTAGTATCATTTAATATTTTCTTTATTTGTGCCACAGTGTGTGGGATTGCACTGATTTGTAATTTTATTTTTTCTTTGTTCGATGAGAACAGCATTTTGGTTAAAAATTCAATGTTTTACTTTTTTCTTAAGGGGTGGGGGCTGACAACAGTACTGTCAATAAAAGGGGGGGTGAGGGAGAGGCATTTTGGGAACCACTGCAGCCCTGTTTGAAAAAAAAAAACAGTTAAAAATGATGGAGGAAGTGTGTGTGTGTGTGTGGGTACACACTCTGGTATCTCATCAAAATGCTGATCAAACACTTGACTCCTCTTCTCATTATGCTACGATGCTGTTGTTTCCTCCTCTTCTCCTCCTCCTCCTCAGCCTTGACCTAAATGCAAAAGCATCACTCCTTATGTGCAGCAAACACAGTCGCTGGACGACACAAACTCCCGACATGCATACACACAAACACACACACACACACTAGGCTGAGTCAAAAAGTCCTAAGACAGATGTAAGGGCTGAATATGTAAAGACGCGTCTTGTCACTACGTCTTTGTCAAGTGTTAAACTCTGTTATGTTTAAATTTGAGTTTTTTTCCGTTCTCTTTTTAAGGCTTAAAGAAAGTCGATGTCAGTCCTGAGATGAGACAAAGACTCAGGTCGTCACCTGGTGACAAAGACATTTTACAAAGATGGAATTCTCAGATGAAATCATTGTTTACATTAGTGTTTACAGCAAATGTATTTTCATGAATAAAATGGCATAGGTTTGTCTTAGAACCTTTTGACTAGCGTTACATAAAAGTAAAGGACTTAAATTCCTAATATTCTTTGCATACAGAAACACAAATATTTATAAAAAAATAAACCCAGCAGAACACCTAAGATAAAATGACACGTTCTCTGGTTCTAATAGTCACCTGTGTCTGACTGGGCTGCAGTTGTTTTCTTATCACAACTCGTTCTTCTACAGCACAGTACTTCACTGATTTTCTGTAAGATTTGATTTTCTTTATTTGTGTAAAACCGTCGGGCCTCACGGCTTCAAAATAATCCTGTGTAAAGAGTTTATCTGAGGGATAAACTCACTTTAAGACTCTATGCAAATATTTAAAGCAGTGCTTTGTGGAAGTATCTCCCCCCAGTGTGGGCTACAGCCCAGTGAATTGGACAGATTGACAATGTTGTCAATTTTTTAGACCTCGGTGATTTGGGGTTTTGTGATATAATTGGTTTCTGTGTGCAAAGTGAAGTGACGTTAGGTTCTTAACGTGACACCGTGTGGTTAAAATATTCTCCCTAACTACGGTAAATTACGCACTGCAGTTTTAAGATTTAAAACACTGTTTTGTTTTAACAAACATTAGGAAATTACTGAAATGCCAAAAAAGAAATGTCTGACAATGATATTAATCTAAAAAGATCGGGTTCCAGCTCGATAATAAACCCAGCAGCGGCGAAAGACGTCCGTGAATTTATGGCTTCAGTCTCTCTGTCAGTTGCCAAAGCATGTATGTATGGATGGTGTTTGACTGACCCCCAGTGGTCAGAGTGGGTAATGGCTTCCAAAGAAACGTACGCACGCCGCTGCTCACTGTGATGTTATGGGATGCTATGTATCTACGTGCTGATTCATTACGACACATGCATTGTGGGAAAATAATTTCTTAGAAGATAAAAAATGAAGCCAAAATTTGTTAATTAAAATTTTATTTTAATTAACATTTTTATTTTAAAAAATAATTTGTTTTAAACGGTAAAGATACAACTCCACACAGGCAGACAGATGCTGTTGTATATTTATTTTTTATTTTAATTAACATTTTTATTTTATTGTAAAAAATGTTTTTAAATTTTAAAGAAAGCAAAAGTGTCATGAAAAACAAATAGTGATAAAATATTTATCCTTTAACTGTCCCTGCAACTAAAGTTCATATTTCTATGATAATTAATGTAAATGTATCCATGAACCTCTCAAACATTTGTCACCAAAAGGGAAACAAGTGCTCAGGAAAAGAAGAATCACTTGGGGTTTTTTTTTTAAAAACAACAGAAAATGACTTTGAAATTATATGTTCGTTTACGTAAACGATAAATGGGATTTGTTGTTTCCAGGAATTCCAAAATCAAAATGTGTCTTATCAAAGATATTTTTCAGTTTTATATGCTGTCTTGAATTTTGCCTGTTATTTCTAATTTTTATTTTGTTCAAACTTTCTCTTTTCATTTGGTGATGAATCCATTCAGACTAGATCTGTTATGCTGGGATTTAAACTTTTTAAAATAAATACTATTATGCACTTTTCTTCATGAATAACTTTGTGCAATCATCTTCAACTGTTTTATGCTGGTGAAACTGTTCTTTATTTTTCACCATTTTAACTCTTTTTTTATGTCACATCATTAATGAATACGGATTAATGAAACGTTATGAAAAAGTTGTCTGTAGTTTTCACCCTGCACCGCTGTGTCTTTTTTTTCTCTTACGTGTTTTTTTTTCTCAGTCTCTTCTATTCTTCTATTAAGAACAATCACTAGGTTATGGCCAAAAACGATAATAGTAATAAATATGTTAACAATGATTGTACTGTTTACGCTACTTTCATTTAATAACTACAATAAATTATACTACTACTTTTAATACAGTGTTTGTATTTTACGGTAAGAACTCCACGATGTAGAACAAAGTAAAAGGAAAATAAAGAATTGATGGCGCTCTTGGTATAGGCCACTAAGGGAATCGCCCAGGGCGCCATCTGCTGGAAGGGATGACGTTGTAATCCCACAGTTGGGCAATTAATATCCAAAATGGCCGCTTGTGAAATTGGAATTGAATTGTTCACACGACGACATCTGGGAATCAGTAGAAAATGGATGAACACTCGATTCAATAAAAGTACAAAGAGATGGAAACTAAAAGGTACTGTTGGCTACATTTAATGACCCTCATCTATATCCTCTACTTCTACAGTTTCTATGATTTTTTTTTTAGGTTTTGACTGATCCAAGATCAGCTTTTGGTGACTCCTTCCTAAAGAGGACTAATACTGGAGACCGGATATGTAAGTACACGTGAATATTTCTGTATTGTACACCATAAAGAAATTAGGACTTCTCTTTGTGACAAAAATTACGACAGAGGGCGATGTTTAATTCAATGCACAGTCACAGGTCCCTTCACTGAGTTCAGTGAATGAAGACGAGGCAGCAGCAGCAAAAAATGTCATGAAAACAATGATGTCCAGATTTCTTTAATGATCATTTTTAACTCTGGTCACAGTTTAAATGACTATATATATATATTTATATGTATATATATATATAATCGTGAAAAATATGCGGTGCAAACAATGATTCCATTTCATGGCACTTGATATTAACTTGTTAACAAATCTTATAAAATCAAATAACATTTAAAAGAAAAACACAAAAGGCCTCAAGCAGAGGTTGTTGTCTGTTTATTTAGTTTCAGATTTATTATAATTTTTGTAGAAAAAAAATCAAACGAGAGACTTGGTCCAAACTGGTGACTGTCCTGTGTGTGTAGGGGGCGCTATTTTGTGTTGTAAACTCACTGTGTGACCAACAAACTCAGGGATACATGAAAAAAACTGTTGCTTTGGTATATGTGCCACTTGTACTTGGGCTCCTTCTATCGGTACAAGGGGGGAATTTCAGTTTCTGAGACTGAAACTTGTAAAATACAATGTCAGGCTGTGTGTGTGTGTGTGGTTTCAAAATTACATTTCAGTGCCAGGGTTTTTGTTAAACGGGCCAATGATTTTATTAGGAATAAATTATTTTCTACAAATTCTGTGTTTACGGAATTAACACACTGAGCTCGTGCTGCTGCATTTTAATTTTGGTCACTGGTTCTAATTTTATTTTAAATATTTTTGTGTGTATGGAAAAGTTTGAGAACAACTACAGAATATATTTGGAATGTAAAATAACATTTATATTTACGATAATAAAGGCCCAGGTTATTCACCCGATTAAACGTTTAAATTTAACTACAGCCAACCATGGTCAGTGTATGTGTGCGTGTGTGTGTGTGTGTGTTCCTAAGAATCAGAGTCTTCCAGATCATAGTAGCGGTTCCTCTTAATCATATCCTCTGCACTGGGCTCCTCTGCATCACTTCCTTCTTTCTCCTCTTCCCAGAAGCCCACATCCTGGGAGGAGCGGTTTTCTTTAGGCTGTGGAGGAGGAGAGGAGGAGGAGGAGGAGGAGGACAAGGGTGCGACGTCTGTGGAGATGTTCCTCACTGCTGCTGAATCCTTTTCTTTGTTGCCTTGCTCGTGGTTTTCTTCCTGCTCCTCTGCTGCGTCTCCACCGGACCTCGCAGGCTTCTTGTTCTCCTCCTGCTGCTCTGCTTTATTTTCTTTGGCCGAGTCATCAGACGGATGTCTCTCCTCAAATGAAGCTCTCCAATCCAGGAGGGACTTGAGTGGGCGACGGCGCTCCCTTGGCCCCAGAGTCGGCGCAGGTGCGGGTTTGACCGCGATAGTGAAAGGCCGACTGCGCTCCTTCAGAGAGGAGCTCCTCCTCAGGCTCTTCAGTTCAGCCCGCTCCAAGCTCTGGAAGGACGACAGCGCCTCATCATCTGGTGGCCACTTTGCTCGGCCGGGTCGGATTGAGGGCATGTCCTCTGCCAGTGGACTGAGTGGTCCTGGTCCAGACTGACCTTCACCGGCCGGCGGAGGCCAGGCGATCCTCAGCTTGCGGGTCTCTGCCGGTTTCTCGGTGGAGCTGGACGGTGTCTGAGCACGCGTCTCCAGCAGGGCCCTCACGTCTGTGACCTTCAGCTGTGAGGACGTTTCCACAGCGGGGGCGGCCTGTGGGTCTGACCCACCCTCAGTTGGACACGTGGCCCGTTCTGGCTGCTCTGGTTCTTTGGTCTTCACTGGTTCCTCACCGTATTCTTCTCCCTCCACTCGAGGTTCCCACAATTCCTTGTGAGGGCGGTGGCCGAAGCCCTCGTCATAGTTTCCTTTGGTTTTGAACAGCTGATTGTAGTGGGGTTTGCAGTAGATGTTTCCGTGAAGAGAGGAAAAATTCCCGAGACTAAAAAAAGGAAGAAAATGTTCTTGTTATTTTGATCTTTGAAACATTTTATCAAACCATCGACAAATGAAAACAAAATCTGAATTAGTAAACACTAGGAATGGGCCGACACTACAGTGACTCTCCACTGATGACTCCATCTTTATCCACTGTCACCTGGTGTACCAGTGCCCCAACCAATCAGCTTGGACTGACCTCAGCTTCATGCTGCAGTAACCAACCAATCAGCTTGGACTCTGCAGTCGGACTGACCTCAGCTTCATGCTGCAGTAATCACATTTGAAGCAGCTTTTGTGGTAGACGTGCTGCTGAGCCACCAGTTTCTCCAGAGGATACACCGTCTTCGAACAGGCGAAGCACGTCTCCCGCACTGGTGGGCTGAACTTCTACACACACACACACACACACACACGCACGATGACAGTCATCAATAATCCCAGGAGGGTTGAACTACAGTCATACTGATGATGGCTGTTGTGAGGAGTGACTCACCTTGGTTGTCTTTAAAGGTTCACTGGTCTCACCTGAAGTAAACACACAACACACACCCAACACATACATATATATTAGTTAGTCAGTCAAATATAATGGTTCACTGGTCTCACCTGGAGTAAACACACAACATATATATGTATATATTAGTTAGTCAGTCAAATATAAACATTACATAAAGCAAGCTGTCGACACGCACTAGACAAATTTGACGAGAATTTTTTTTTTTTAACTATCAACGTGATGATAGATTTGATAGATTTATTTAATTAATGTCAACCTCATTAAGAGTCTCTTTAACACCTCGTCCAGTGTAGTACAGTACAGAGTCCATGTGTAAATATTGTCCACTGAGACTCACCATTGCATTCAGGTGATTTTGGAGCCGGCGTCTCGGCGGCCACGCCCTGAAAACACACATTAGAACAAACCCTTTTGTGAACTCCATAATGAACCACAGTCTATTTGAACTGTGTGTGTCGAGACGGAAGGAAGAGATTAAACAGCGGCAAAACGGGAGGACAATGTCGTGACCTTCACGTCTGACGTGTGACCTTCACTATGTTCACTTTAGTCAAAGATCTGCAGATTAAATCTCTCTCCTCAAGGAGGAGTTTATTACCAACCATTGTCACAAAGTCCAGCTTTAAACTTTAAGATCGATCTTTTTTACGTAACGTTCCAGATCAACTCTAAACGTCTTCTCGTGTTCTTTGTGCTCACGGTTTGTGCAGGGCCATGTTTGGAAACAGCTGCCTGGTACTTCGCCATCTTCTCCCTCAGAGACGTCGACTCTAACACTCGGTCAGAAACAGTCGGGCCTGGAGCAGAGGAGAAACGGTGTTAAAGAAAAATGACATTATCAAAGGATATTTCAGTGAAGGTTTATTTTCGTCTCTTTACCGCTTCGATGATCCGTGTCGTCCGATGACGAACTTCGTAGTGTGGTCCTGCCGATCTGTGACATCACAGTTATAGAGCTGGGGTTAATGACATCTATCTACTGAGTCACATGAGACACATTATGAACATTATCATATTCTTAAACAAAAACGGACAAAGAAAAACTATAGTTTTTTTTTCAGCCACAGTCATGGGAAACATCACTGTTTCATCACATTTGAGCACAAAAACAACTGCACATCTGTGTGTGTGTGTACCACCATGTCACCAATACTAATGGGTAAACCAGACAGCTTCTCTCCACAGTTACCCTGTACACACACACACACACACATGTGGATGGAAAGTGTTTTTAGCCAATTAAAACAGCCCATTTCTTTCAGGCAGCTTCTCTCCTGTTGAGCCTCCGTCGTTCCTGGCGTGTGTGTGTGTTAGAACGCTCCCCGTCTGGTCAGTAAAGTTTTTACACCTTATTTTGCTTTCATTTGCTGTTTTTTTTAACTATGGTGCTGACTTAATGGTATTTATGCTACAGCTGAGAGCCGGTCCAAAAATGAAGGTATGACTTCTGCAAGTACAGATCCACACGATATGAAAAACACACACACACACACACACACTTGGGCTGATACTCTGGAGATAATGGACGGTGTGATAAAGACTGTCACTTTGGTGAAATGATCCTCTGAAGAATGAAAGAGCCCTAGGTCAGGAATGTCCCAACATTCCTGTGTTGTGGAAGGTGAAACGTGGAATGTTGGTTGTTTTCAGGCCAGAGACGAAGAGAAAGAAAAGGACAAAGACGGAGGGAGAGAGACGGGGGGAGGGAGGGTAAACTAAAATTCTCAAAGCTGACCTTGCTGTACGTATGTCTGTGGAGTCGATGAGAGCACCTGAGATTTGTCCCCAGTGGGACACAGATTTAATCACTCCGACTGTGATGTGTGAACCGTTGAATTCATTCAAACTGACTGATGCCAGTCATGGTGTCATACAGTTCCACATCGACAGGGAAGCTGATGAGCTGCTGTGATGCAAATGAGATTGGCTGGTAGCGTCATGTGGAGGCGCTGTGCTCTGATATTTCCCACTGATGTGAACGCACGGAACTTTTAAACTACTTTGCATTTATTCAAAATGCAGGGAGAAGTAGTGAAGACTCAATTTTCCATTTTTTCCCCCCAAGATGGAAATACTGTTCATTCATTTTCCAGGTTTTACAGAATGCATGAGAACCCAGTATTCCCCTAATGGTTGTAAATGGATCAAAGGAGTTCTGTGGTGATTTTTTTTTCATCAACAACGATGCTTCTTCCTCTTTGATATTTTCCTCTCATATTTACTTTCTTTTTAAAGTGATTGGAGGGGAAATATTAACCAGCAAAACAGAGTAGAACCAGCCGTTGGCAGAAACACAACCCAAGTATGAGGAGTGGCCGGTGAAGAACAACCAGGGTTAGCTTAGCTTTCCCAAAAAAATTCAATCAAATCAAGGCCCAGCCTGTATTTCTGTGAGAGCAAAGATACAGATCTGTACAGACAGTTGCAGAGATCAGGTGTGTGAATAGAGCATTAAGCATGAATTTACATATGTAAAATGTTGTACCACATATTTTCTATGAAAGGAGCACTTGTTGTTTAAACACTGTCAAATTTTTTACCTTGCCCGTGGCGTCCTCTCCCTTTTCAAACCTCATCTTCAGGTTGGTCAGTGGCACTCGAGGTTTTTCATAAAAGGCACGGGGGCTGGTTGGAACTTGGTCTTCCAGCATTTCGGGTTTTTGTCTGTGTGTCGCCTCAATCCTGTTCATCGCTCTCTCTTCGTCAGGGGTGGGTTCTTCAGGAGCAGCTGAGAACGTCTGGGCACGGACCACAGCAGTTGGGCCTCCTTGAGCTGTCTTCAGACCCGGGTTCTTCACCGAAGCCGTGCTCTCACCGATGGAGGGAAGTCTGGTGAGGACTGGGGGTCTACTGCGGAAGCTGGGTTGCCTTTCAAGTGGAGCAGAAGAAGAATTGCTGTCATCAGGCTTCTGTGCTTGCTCCCAGCGTTTCTTCAGAGCGCTCAGGTTGCCAGACCGCAGGGATGATGTTGCACCGTCCAAAGCCTGGGGAGAAAAAACAACTTGAGCTGTGAGCTTCCAAACATTTTTTATATAATCCAATTATATAATATGTTAAATAAAAGATATAAGGTCAATTTTAACCTCCCAGAAATGCATTCAATGGTGCAGTACCGATGCTAGCCTACAGGGGCTGCAGTAGTTATTGCCCAAGCAAATAAACTCTCAAAAAAAAAAATCTACATATACAAAAACTATTTGTGAACTTGTGACTTAAAAAGTTGGAGGTACATCATTGTTCCAAGCTTTAGGAATTTTTTTTTTTTTTTTTAGTAATAACCAACAATTCCATACTGGAACGACAGAATCTTCCAGTGGCTTAGAGTCTGGCTTTAGCTGTTGAGGCCAGCCAAGAATGCCTGTCTCTGGTTTGGGAGGAAGATCGTGTCCATAAACCTCAGAGTGTAAAAAAAAAAAAAAAAACCCTCCTGCCAAAACTGGTGTAGTCTGATGAAAAATGTGAGGAAGATTTCAACATAAGCCCCTATAAAAGTATCAGAAAGAACAGAAGCTTAAAATTCCATATTCAGCAAAGAGTGGACTAAAGCAAATGGCAGAATCTGCACAAATCTCCACTGACAGATGAGCCGAACAGCTGTTCAGAGTTGGTCCAGGAAATAGATGTTTTGCTGCCGCTGCTGATTGCAGCAACAGGCTGAAGACAGCAGATTGCAGGGCTGAGCATGCAGACGCATTTTTTTCAGCCACATTCTTTTCCACAGGTCAACGTCACCTTCACCCCAAAAAACCTACTGTTTTCATGATGATCCATGAAGAGCAGTAAACAACACAGAAACAGGAGGCTGCAGTGCTGCTGTTGGACCTGCACTTACTTCCCTAACTCTAAAAAGAGGAATGACATTTTACAAAAAAAAAAAGAGGATCTTTGTATTCATATAATACAATCATATAATCATATAATAATCATATAATAAATCATAGATTTCGAAAATAAATCTGTGCAACACCCCCTCCTGCTGTAACTGTGAAAAAAAACAAAAACGACTATTCTAAATTTGACTAAATGTAACTTTAGTCTAACAAACACATTTTCAAACAAACAGACAGAAAGACGGAGAGAAACAACAAAACAAACTGGACTGAAAAACAAAGTGAACAACAGGAGGCACAATTAGTGTCTTTGTGAGGCAAGTCCAGTGACGACAGACAAGGACAGGGATGAATTTTAAGCAATGACAAAGAAATTCTGTGAGAATATAATTTAAAAGAAAAAAAATATATATATAAAGCGTTACCACAACTGGAAAGCAGTGAAGGTGAGAGTTGTTCTCCACAGGTCTGAGAGCTCAGAGGAGAGAAACTAGTCAAGTTCTACTTGTAAGAGTCAGCCGAGCCCCCAGGAAAGTGAATGAGAGAAAGAGAGAGAGAGAGAGAGAGAGAGTCAAAGGGGAAACCAGAGCAGGAAATGACACATTCAGGGAAAAATTAACTCTTTGTCTGCTGTTGGGATTGTGACACTTTCCCCCCCTCTCTCAGTACGACAATTCCAATTTTCGGAGAAGTTTGTTGACTTTGTATAAATGCATTTACATTGTTGTCTGCAGCTCAGTCAAACCTGAGACAGATGCACACGGCCGTGTTCCATCCTTATTTTTTAAATTAATCATTTTTATAATGGAATATGGTGGAATATCTGTACATTTTTGTTTCATATTAAAAAAAAAACTTGAGCCACTCCACATCTGTCTGACTCTACTGTAACAAATGAGATATATGTGATGTAAACAGACCTGGATGCAAAATAGATTTTTCAACTTTAACAAGGGATTTAGTGTATACACTACAAACAGATTTTTGTTAAGATAACCTTAAAGGAATTATAATAATTTCATTGCCAAACCTGTTTGTTGATGGTCACAGGGACGACTAACTAACAAACTGGTTCTGCCCTCTTTCTGAGGAACTTCTGTTCAGTTCAGATCTGTAACAGTCTAATGCTGAAGACGTCAAAAAAGACGGAAACAAAGTCTTATCTGTGCTGAACCTGACCACTCCCAGCACCAGTGTCAGCCCACGTGGTGTGTAGGTGAGTGTTAACGTGACACACGTCTGTTTTGCTTTCATGAAAAGAAATGAAAACAACAACAGAGTAAAAGGTTGTGTGGCCATGTTGCTGCTTTTAGCAGTTAGGAAAACTCATCAAAACCAAGCTGACTTTGGACGGATACACATTTCAAATTTAGAAGTCACAGCTGTAAAATTACCATCTCAAAACTACTGGGCTAAATTCAGGGAAATATAATGTTTGTTTTTTTTTAAACACAAATACTTACTCCTTTTTTCTTCTCTGCACTCGACTCCTCAGCAGCTCTTTGGTACCTGGGACACAAGGAGACAACACTGACCTCTAGTGACTGAAAACTATAAGGACAACTTCTCCAATTAATTTATTTTTATCAAAGTTAAAGTTATTTTTATTTATTTGAAATTTGTATTTTTTTATCTCGTTAAATGATAAACAAACAACAAATCCATCAAATACAGTTCAACTTTATGAATGTTAATAACGTCTCCTACACAACGCAATCCAGAGTATAATTTTGTATATATAAGTTTGAAAGGAGAGAACACAACTTAAGAATGTTAGTAGCAATTTTTTTAACAAAGTGAATTTGTTCCTGAAGAGAAATGAGACGAGTTCAACAACAAAGCTGTAATACAGTGTAGCAGATCGGCTGCTTTGGTTGACCGGCTGCTTAAGAGCATAAATAATTACTGAAGGTATTCCAGGAATTCTGGGGTTTTTTTTCTGCGAGAACTGTCTTTGACATGTTTTAAACTGCTGCCCACTTTATATCGAAACAATTGTCTAATGTCCTTGATCTGTTGATATGGAACACGCTGACTATGTTTGCATGAATTTGCTTTACTAAAATGATTGAGTATTTAGATTTGTACTGCAAAAGCTAGTAGCTTCAATCCTCTCACACTGTTGCACTTGTCAACAGGCAGTACACGAGAGTTACACAAAGATTATACAGGTAAGACGGGAGGTTCCTCAACAGAGAGGATCAAGATAAAAAAGAGCATCAATCAAAGGCTCAGTCTTGGCAAACAAAGGTGTGGTCCTGACTAGCTGCAAATTACTGCAAAGACAGTTAATAATCTGAAACAGTCAGATGAAGGATTCACCAGGTCGGCAGCAACTGAGGGGGCCGGAGAAGACCTGCCCTCGCTGCTTTAAAAAAAAAAAAAAAATCATAGAGGATGATTTACTTGCAAAGTTAGCAGAAACTCCAACGCCGTCCTACTAACTGTCACCTAAAACAGAGCAGTGCTGCTTTAAATGTGTTCACTGAGACACACAACAGTCTTCATGCAAAACTGACACAGTTCTGTAGTGGTTTCCAAATGATAAGAAAATGCAGTTGAAAGAAAGGGAAATGTGATCAAAGGTTAAGGTGCCTCGGTCCAAACCTGGCAGCAGTGACTTTAACGCTGTAAAAAGGTTTGATAGCGAGACCGATGATAACAGTGAAATCTAAACCACTTTTCTCTCATTGTGACGCAGTTGTACTGTGTTTGTCACTAATACCAGTCACTACAGTCTTACTCACTTGGAGAAACGCTCAGCGATGGCAGTGTTTTTTCCTCGAGTGCTAACCAACGACAGCTCCTTGGCGGTGATACGCAGAGACTGCGTCGCCCATCCGCGACGATTGAATGGACCACTCTCCATCGTTGCCGGCAGAGTACCTGAAACACAGACACAGTCATGGTAATAATGGGTTTATGACACCTGTTGTTACAACTACAGATCAAAATGGTTTTCTTTTTATTCTTTTCTCAGACGAAACGTTCAGCACCAGAGAACTTCTGTCGTGACCTCCACTGTTATGGAGCCCATTCTTGGCCTTTAGTCTCACTTCCTCTGCACCAGCTGGTGAGTTAAAATCTACTGTAGATCTAACTGTATTCAGTTTGTAGATAATTTTTTTTAAACACCTAACACCATAATAAATACAGAAAACATGCTAGTCACACCTAATAAAAAATACAGAAAACATGCTAGTCATCAATTTGCATTCATGAAATATTTTATTAATCTATTCATGTAAAGATAATAAATAAACAATCTTTTCATGGCTATCATGTCACTCTGTTGGTCACCTGGGTTAGTTTGGTTGGAACTGGGGAGGATAGATGGGCATAACCCATAAAGCAGGAGGCAGCAGAGAGTTGGGGCGGATAGATGGGCATAACCCATAAAGCAAGAGGCAGCAGTGAGACTGTTTTTTTTAAAATAATGATTTAAAATGTTAATTTCAGTGTTTTTTTTTTAATAATGATTTAAAATGTTAATTTATAAAAGCGCATGAAACAAACAATAGATTTACATTGACACGTGCAGAACAGAATTTGAAAGCATGATCATTTCTTACATGGTCTACGAGTGAATAAAAATGAAGAAAAAAAAATATCAAGAAATGAGAATGAGAAAAATCTAATTTCTTACAGTATATACTGCACACACTGCAGCTGGACAGATATCACTTGGATAGATCTATAGATCTAGATACTAACACGGAGTACAGCAGGTTGATCTTTTGATCATATCTTGATACATTTGAATTCAAATTTTGTATCCAACATGTGAGCTTTTTTTAAAAACAAAATTCCCCACAACATACTGTATGTGTCCCTGGGCCCTGACTGTGAACGACAACAAGGACCACCCTGATGACACACTGACGTGTGGCGACGACAGACAATAATTACACTGACAAGAGGCCTCGTTTCACGAGATAAACAAGACTAACCATCACTCTTAGCTCAGTGCTGGAGACCAGGTCTGCGCAGGAACAGTACTGAACATGTCTGATGCTGTCTAAGATCACTGATTTACAAGTTTACAACAAGCCCTGGGGTTTATCTATTGTCACCGTCCCACTGCCCGACAGCCTGCGATAGCGTACGTGAGCTCATTCGGTTGTACGTGCCAACAGCGAGTCAACGTGCTGCGACTTGTGCGGCAGTTTGTGCTGCTTGACTGCAAGATGGAAAGACACTCAGCAAAACAATAAGCTGAGAGCGTGAGCACATTTTCAACATGAGAAGATAAGTTGTCGAGGGAAAGATTCACAGACAGCTGGAGAGTCCTGTTACATTCTCGGTTTCCTTGACTCTGACTTTTTCACACGACAAAGTAATTTGGGTATAAACGTGGTGCAGAAAACAATGTCAGGTCAATATTTCTGCTCGAGATCATAAAGTCACACACATTTACTGTGGTCCTCTGTGCTTTTGCACTCACTCAGGTGCACGTGATTACATCACCACTGAAACAGAACGATACTGGTGGCAAAAAGAACAAGGACTTTGGACTGAAGTCAATTTCAACATAACCCACACTTTATTTAGTGAAACTAATCAAATACAACTGTGGCCATGACTTTATTTCATGCAGACATATATATATATATATATCATTAACTAATTTTGACTACAACATTTTTACTTTATAGTGTCTGAAACACTGAGTTTTAGGGCTGGGAAATACAGGCGGAAAATCATATTGTGATATTTTTTCGCCGAATAGCGAAGATTTACAGAAATTAACAACATCGATAGAAGCGATATTCTCCGTTGTTATAGCTCATTTGTCTTTATTATAGAACAACATCGATATCCTCCCTTGTTATAGCTCATTTGTCTTTATTATAAATATCAAGATATCGCCCAGCCAATGCAGTACTTTATGACTGATGACTTTACTGATTGGTAAAAATTTACCCAGCAGGTGTCATAAACACCAACAAAGACCAACAACTCCAGCTGGGTAACTGTGGCCCTCTGGACATGGACTACAGTTGGTCCAGCTCCCTCAGGTGTGTATTCCTAGCCCACCTCTCACCGTGGAGAAGATGAGATTATGTTTAAAAAAAAAAAAAAAAAAAAAACAGTAAGGAACATGGAAACGTTTCCTTAAACAAGAACACTGATTCACATTGATATGAAGTTGTTGAAGTGCTTTTACTGGGTTTCTGGGCATTGAATACCTCGGGGTTATTCACTGTCACTACAGGTTTCAAAGCCTGAAAGGCAAGTTAGTTCACCTTGCAAATTAAACAGTTGCCTACTGTGTTACCACGGACTAAGCACAAAAACAAAGTAACTGATGGACAATGAAACCATACCTTGATAATTAGCTCTGGATCCACCTTGTTTGTCCAGTCACTCCATGTTCACAGGAACAGAGCCTAAACCAGAAAGTTGTGCGTCATCACAATCTGTGGTCACATGCAAAGAGCTGACTCGGCTGCATGTCTGTTAATGGTCCTCAAGTCATATCTGCACGCACATGAAAGGACCGCTGTCCTGGTTTACCAACAAGACTAATAAAAATCACCAACAAAACTTGAAATCTTGTCACGATGTGCAGCATTAACGTAGTTAATTCAAATTTTGGAACAGGGCGGAGCCAATGGCGTGACTTACTTGTGTGTGACTACAATTCAAAGGCCTATAATTCCTGCTTCCTCCTGGTTTAAAGGACTAAGATTAAGTTAAGATCACTGTATTTGTTGTTAATGTATTGTTCTGGAGGCAAATACTATCTGGTTTAACAACAACCTCCCGCACCCCCTCCTCAAATCCCTCTGCCCAGTCCACACCACTCCAAATGATTATTTGAATTTGCCTATTTACTGTTTGTCAATGTTAAGAAGATTCCACAAAGCACTGCTATATTTTAAAGGTGTGTGTAAATTGCAAAACAGTTATTATACGGGTCACTAATATGTTGTTAACCTGCAGTAAACACAGTAGTGTGTGGTAATTAAATGTCATTTTACATAGTATTAATCCTTAAATGAAAGCTTTTACGATGTGACAATATTCAAACTTCCATCTGGCTTTGTCCACTTTGCAGGATATGAAAACCCCAGACAGCTACAGACTGACCTTTGACCTTAACTTTCAGTCAAGTTAGCCCTGACGACAAATGATGTTACCAAAACACGAATGGAAACGGAATGACTCATGATTAGGAGGAGTTGTCTGCATAACACACCCCTGACTTAGGACACAAGCGTCATTAAGAACAAGAGTTCAAACTGGTTTGAGGGAAATATTCAAAGCAATGGTGTCAAAGAGACAAATCTAATCAAAGACCAATGCTCAACTTTGTGAGGCTTATCATACAAACTCAACGTCTTGACCTTAATTACTCTAGGCTAGCTTTGATCAAAACAGGTTGCTATGGAAAAGTCTGCAAATAAAACATTGATCATAACTGTATTGTGGAGGAAGTATGTCACGTGTAAAAGGTTATGCAATAAGTGAAGGACTGTTGTGGACCAGCATACGCTGATACATTACATTAACGTTTTAATACATATCAATTTCAATCTAAAGCCGACACCAATGGCAAAAACATTAACTATTATAAAATCACAATGAACAAAAAACTATAATATATTATTTAAAAGCATTAAACCAGGTCGAGGCATTGTAAAGTAGTAACGTAAATGTAATATTTTTTACATAACTAAGCAGTAAAGACAAAGATGTAGCATGTAATATTTTTTAACTAAGCAGTAAAGACAAAGATGTAGAGCTGCAGAAGACATAATGTGAAGCATTTTGCTCCAAATATGCAGTGTTTTTAACTTTATCTCTCAGACTGTTTCCTTCCCTGGTTCAAATATTTCTCTGTCTGATTTCTGCTTTCTCTTTTTCTTTTGGGAGAGAAAATAGAGCGAGTGCACATATTGATCCCGGTCCAACACAAATTGCAAGTTGTGTCAAGGAAGTGGTTTGCTGACTATTGGTCAGAAAACTTTTTCAAAAGTTTCCACCCAAACTTTATCTTCACAGACTTCACAAAGTGCTGGAGAATTATATTTTAAAAACATTCAGAGTGTGAAATGGCTCCTGCCTTGAACATATATTTACCAACCTCTAAAAATCTGCAGTGTTGAATGAGACAGTGTAAAAAGGAGCAACTGTCTGAAGCCAAAGAATGAGGAGTGAGGTCATGAAACAAAGACTCATATAGTATCTGAGCTTAAGTCGAGCTGCCCTGTCGAGGGCCCAGCGTGTTATTTAAAGAACTTTAATTACAGGTGTATAACACTCTGCGAGGCTGCTTGAACGCGTCTGCTTCAAAATACAGTGTGACATATTTTTGGTTTTTTAAATCACTAATTTGTTTGCGTTAACTCGCAGTCCTGAAAGATGCCCTCGGTCCCTGAGAGAGAATTTAGCTGCATTTACTTTTCCGTCGATATTTCTGCCTCGGGACGTCGAGTTAAAAACTATGAGTTTACACCACCATATTGTCCCACGGTATCAAAAAATAACTTCTCTATCTTGATTTTTTATTCCCAGATACATCTGCCTGGAATACTTCTCTCCACGCCCTTGCCGTAGTCTTGTCTTACCTGTGCGGACTTCCGTTGACTCACTCTCTGAGTGAAACCGTCAGACACCTGACACTCTCCGCAGTCGCTGCGTCACCGCCCGCCGGTGTGTCTGTAGGTCTGGAGCAGCAGAGGCGGGATGTGAACCGAGAGGTGTCGCCCGAGTGAAAGAGCTGAACCATGTGATTGCATGGACCAATAGCCTTAGGGCTTTTTCATCCACCTGTACCTGGAAGTGTGCGGACTCCGTGGGCGTACCGCCCGGCCACATTCCTGATGCTAACACGGGGTTTTTTCCTCCCTTTTCATTGAGTTCAAGAAAACTTGTCAAAGGAGGTTGAAGCCAATCCTATTTGTACCAAGTGAAGGATGGAAGTGACACAAAAGCTAAAAGATCATGAGATATTTTTTGAGACATTTTCCCATTTACTTTAAGATATTGATTATTATGTAACAACTGTGTCATATTTTAAGTAGTGTATGATTATTTTGAGACCATTATTATGAAATAATATATCTTGACAAATTGTCTCATGTTATTAAGGTATTACCCCACAATAATGAGGGACCATCTCATAATAATAAAACAATTTTCAAAGAGATACTACCATGTATATAAAGAGTATCTCACATTTATGGAAGGTATTAATGTGATACTTTCTCCTTGTTTAGATATATTATGAGATACCATATTAATTCATTTAGAGTTTGTTTTTTTTTTTGTTTAGATATATTATTTAGTAATTATGAGATACCACATTAATTCATTTAGAGTTTGTTTTTTTTATTGCTTGAAGTAAGTGTTATATTATTATAACATTGCCCCTTTTTCATCATTACGTGTAACTACTTCAAGATTAACTGAAATTTATTCTGATTCAGGTTTGTCAATCTAAGGTCTCTGTGTCGCAGTCAGACCCTGACTTGTAATCTTGTTCGCTGACCTTCATCTGTACAGGCCAGAGTATGTCAGGTTCAAGGCCTCTTGACAGATGGTGGACAGACACAACATCATCATTAGACAAAGAAATGTCTTGTTACTATTTCTGTTCACCCTTCTGCAGCTCTGACTTTAAATTAAGCCAGTCGTAGATTTTCTTTTTCAGATTATTTTTTATTAATTGGCAATATGGAGGAGCAGTAAAGGAACCTTTCTTTATAAAAAAAATAGGTAATTTGTCTTTTGTTAAGGTTGCAATGGTGATGATAAAGTACATGTATAAATGCATTTGAAAGAAATTATAATACGTGAATACAGTAAAAAATGTTACATTGTAAATTGATTACATATAAATAATTTGGTACGATCTAACATGTTCATTAGTTCACTGATTTTGAGGTCGTGAGAAAGCGACTGCTGTATTTTTCTTTGTCTTTTACGACCAGATCACAGACTCGTTTTACAATGTTACTGATTTTTTTTTGCCAGTGATTCTGTCATTTAAATTGAAGATGTAGATTGTAGAACTTTGGAGGGATACTTCCAATTTCCATCGAATAATTTATCGAATAATAACATGTTTATATAATGTATGCGTTTATTTTATTTATTTGTTTTAATATATCGCATCAACGACGACGCCCTTTCTCTCTTTCTTTCTATTTATATTGTAGAATATGTCCCTATTTCTTCTTCGTGAAGAGTCCATATCGGTAACAAAAACGGTTTGTAGATAATAGAATGAACATGGGCTGATGTCTCCACCCCCTGAATGGAGCTGGTATGTGAAGAGGAGTCTTTTCTCTCCCCCCTTTTTCTCTCTCTCTCTCTCACTCGGCTATAGGATCTTCTGCTGTGTGGGGGAGTGGACTACATCCTGTGGCGTTTCCTGTGTTTGTAAACTAGAAGCTGCTGAAAAACGTCGTTGGAGTGAAGCGAAAAGAGGTGCGTGTATTTAATTTTCTCTTTGTTCTTCAGTGAATTAAGTCTGCGCACTCTGCTCAGCCGTCCGCCATTACTGAACTGACATTTCCACAAAGAAAGCCTCACTTCGAGGACGGCGGTGCAGGGATTTCACCGAGTATGAGGCTCGACATTTGTTAGCCTGTTCATTAGGAGGGAGGGGGAAGAGTGGGTGAGGGAGACAGTGAGGGAGGGGGAGGTTCGAACACAGCAGCAGCACAGCGGCGTCGGCCATCACGAAGCTCTTTATCGCCCAATCTTGTCGAAAACCAGCACAGGCTAGTTCCTCGATTACCATCGCATTGAAAGATTGGCTGATGTAGACCGCCACATTAGCGGGAGCGTTGATGTTCAGGTGGGCTAAATAATTGTTCTTTTTTTTTACTTAAAAAAATAATTCTGTGTTGGAGTGCGCCAGCAAACAGCCTAGCAGGAGGCTCGCTTGTGTTAGCCAGTTTCAGCATCAACAAGACCGAATGTGGGGTGGGTGGCGGTGCTAGGGTAGCTAGTGTCTGGAAAAAAACGCATAGATGTTGTTAAAAGTATATGTTCAGTTTTTGTGGACGTTTAGATATCAATAACATTTAACCCAAAACAACAAAATGTGTTTTCTGTCGTCTGCTCGTCTAAAGTGGCGTTAGCTAGTGTTAGCTTTCGCAGTCTATTTAGTTAGCTTCCTAGCCACCAGTTTAACCAACGCCGCTGACGAAGGCGGTGAAGCGTTAAAGCAAAGCTCCGTGTCCATCTGGCTATCGTAAACTTTTACGATGGCAAAACAATTCCGACCGTCAACCTGCGTCACAAAAACACAAAACAGGGTTAGAAAGCCGAAGGTTCGATTCGAAGAGGTCCTCCTTAAGCTTAAACATTGCCTGTTTTGTGATTATGGTTTAATTAATGGCCTACTCGTATCAGAACAGTCAACAACCCCCATTTTAAATTACTTAGAGCAGTACTAGATTAGTACTGTGTAGAGTGGGTTAACCCACACCTTATAAGGTTTCGCCTTTAAACGAGTGAAATGTTGTTAAAATCACAATATTATATATATATCTGTGTAAATTCAAGTCATTGTTCGCTGTGTATTTCGTCTTCGGCACCACGATTCTATACAATACATAAGCGGGAAAAGGGCCTAATTCAATTCTATGCAATTTTTATTTATCAAATTCCGGACAGATGGTAAGTACATTCATTGTTTAGACGTTCACTGTTTCATAGTTTCTTACAAGAATAAACACAATACCCAATTATTTGGTTCCTTTATTCAGACAGTATTATGTAATTGATTAGCTACAGGCTTTAATCCAACACTGTGATCAGTCAATATTCTATTTATGTAATTGCAACTGCAGTTTAAGCAGTTGAATAGGCATGGTGAGCACAAATCCAATTTGTAATGAGTGGATTGTAGTCAGACTTTACAAAGAAAATTCTGTTTTTATTTACAAGTACAATTACAGAAGTTATATAGCTTTGTTTATATAGCTTTGTTTTCCTCTCTTTGTTTTTAAAAAAATATCAATTCTTTAGCTAAAATTCTTTCCTCGTTTTAAAAAAAATATCAATTCTTTAGCTAAAATGTGTACTTGTCTTGAAAATGTACTCAAAAACATTGGTTTTAGATGATTAAAAATTATAGTTTTCAATTTTCAAAATAAAATTGATATGACCAGTTTGTTGCCTCTGTTGTTGAATCTAGTTAGAACTTTGCTCCAGTTCTAAATGGTTAGGGGGATTTCCCTAACAGAATTTGGTTGAGTTAATGGTGTTTTACAGAAAAATGTATTTTAAAAAAAACTTATGTGAGTGGACATTATACAATACTTGGAATATGGAGTGTACGTTTTTTACTTACGATACATCTTAATAAATTGTATTTTTGGTGAACAATTTATTATTTTAAAAAACCCTCTCTCTAAAGTTAATGAGTGTAGTGTAATGATAGCCCATTATTCTGTTGTAATTTACTGATTGTCTGTTTCACTCACATCCACCTCCTTCCTCAGTTTTAATGCTAGATGAGTGAGGTGGGTGTGGCTTCCCACCAGCCCGACCATCCTGACTGACGGATCTCTGGATGACCTTGTCCCAACCCCTGTCCCTGCGCTCACATACACCACAGCAATGTCACATCTGCCCAGCAGCTCAGTCCGCGACCATATGAAATGGGTTTGTTTTGAGAACACCAAAATGGTTTAAAATACCTAACTTACAGTCATGTGTCACTCAGGATGTTGTCGTTGATGACTAGCTTCCTAAATGCTATGTGATTTGTTGTATTCACTAGATGCAAGTAGTTTAGTCAATTACTGACTGTCATTCAATGCAAGATGTATAAAGCAAAGTATTCTTAATTCTTTTTATTTCATTTTTTGTATTTATTTCTTAGGCGGGGCTGCTTGGCTGCGAAGCTGTCCTTTCCAGTATGGCCCTGATGCAGGCCAGTTCTATGGCTGCTCCGCCGAAAAAAATGATGGCCCCTCTTGGTCATGCACCACCACAGAGAGAGGGACCTGATCGTGGCCCCCAGAGCCATATGATTCTTCCCTCTGGAATGAGCTGTCCACCACTGGTTAGGAACTTCCTATTGAATTTTTGATAAAGACACATGAATTTTCCAGCCTATTTAATCATTTAAAACTTTTCAAATTAATGTTTATTTTAAGTTTTGAATCGTTTAAACATTCTTATTTTGACAAATATATAACAGACTAAAATTAAGATTGTAAATTATATGTTAAGCTTAAATGAATATTTCATGATTTTTAGTGATAAACAAACTTGTTTTTCTTTGTAGCTCATCAGGAAGGAAGGTGAATTCCAAGCCCCACGCCTGCTGGATGAGAAGGAGATGAGAGCCAATGAGGACATGCAGCAGAAAAAAAAGAACAGGAAATCAGTGACGCCCTGTAAAGTGAGAGAACAAGAAGGAAGGGGAGGGAAGGTCAGTGGCTGTAGTTGCTAAAAGGGGGGGTTGTTTATTAATATTTTAATGTTTAGTTTATTGCCGTTTGTATGAAATTTGTCTGCCGTACGTCTGCTCACACGTTCTTCTGAAAGCCCTTGACTGCAGTCTATTGCCCGTAGCGCCAAGCTTTCATGCGTGCACATTTTGTTTGTGTGGGGGTGGGGGGAGGAGTTCATGGAAGATGTGGAGGGGGTGGAGGATCTCTCAAGAGGAAAGAGGGGGAGGGGAGCAGAACCAAGCAGAGCACAATAACTGCAGTTGTGTGCATAGCAGGGGGAGCAGTAACATTGAGGGCATTCGTCCATTGGAAGGGCTGGGGTATTTGAACTAAAATGTAAATTACAGTGGTCAAAAACACAACGTCCAATAGCAGTTCAAATTGGGTACAAAAAATACATATATATTCAGAATTTAACAAAACATTCTTTTCATCTGTGTAAGTGTTTGTCTTTTTCAATAGGGGGTACATGTGCCACTGTTGCCACTTGATGCCACTGTTCTTGTAAAAATGATTCTAACTCCTAGCACTGCTTTTTGGAAATGATAATGTCTCATTGTTTGATGTTGTCCTTAGGGCGCAGGTGGAGATGAGAATGGTCCATCGTCCAAAGTGCAAAAAAACTTTATCTGTGATCACTGTTATGGAGCATTTAGGAGTGGATACCACCTGAAGAGACATATTCTCATTCATACAGGTACGGGCCCTGTTTAGAAAAGCTGGTATTTACAATGAAGCCAATATCTGCTTTTATTACCTGAATACATGAGTCATTTGTTTAAAGAGCGTGAGTTGATCTGAATCTGGGAGTGTGCAGAAGCTGTAAGGTTTTGAAATGGCCTGCTTAAAAAACCTTGTTTGGTAATAGCTTTTGCCTCACAGCTAATTGGTGGTATCTGTGGGGACCTTAACTAAAACTGGTGCTCTTCGGTTTAGGGGAGAAGCCGTATGCTTGTGCCGTATGTGACATGAGGTTTATTCAGCGTTACCATCTGGAGAGACACAGCCTCATTCACACGGGTATGCGTCCTTCAACCGTACCCATACAACATAAATCCAACTTGTTGTAATCACTTGAATCAATGGACAGATGTGCAGGGTTCATTTTGTCTGTGGACAGTAATTTCCAACAAAGCCACCCCCTCCCACCTCCCAAAAAATCTGTTCAGAACAAAACAGAAATAAGTCATTTCATAAAACAATATGGCCCATTAGTCCTGAGTCCACTATTAAAAACTCCATATTGAGTTTTAGTCTTCCTTAAGCCCAAGCATTGATTGGCGCAATATAGAGTAATTATAATTAAATTATAATGTATACATATAAGAAATATTTATTCTCTGCCCCTTGGTTATCAATTGTTTCGTTGTTGATGAAGGATAGAACTATTTTTATTTGGAATTTTTGTTTTTGAAGTGAAGCCATAGTGTGCTTTAATAAGTTTTATTCTGAAGGATTCATTATCTTTATCATCTTTAAAGCACTTGATAAGTTTGCTGTTCCTGACGGCTAGCAGTCAGTACACACTAGTCTATGCTTTTGTGAAGCCCAACACATCACAACTCATGATTGTACAGTGCTTTATACCAGCTGTTTATTGTCAAGAAAATCCACCTTTGAAAATGTGGAGTCAAGTCACTTTTACTGTACTGACTTGTGGGCTGCATCCACACTGCTAAGTGTTGTTTGGTGGAAATGAAAACAATGAAGTGCTGAAATGTTTTTAATGTGATTATCTGTAAGTTCAGGGGGTATGTGGATTAGGTGGGGTGTAATTTGATGATACATTTAAAAAAAGTGACTTTTTGTCTTTAGCCTTTATTGCTGCATTTGGAGGCCATTTTGTGTCTAATCAAATCAAGATAATGACCCAGATCTAGCACAAGACAAATATAAATGAACACAATTTTATGTAGTGGAATTAAAATAAAATGAAATCAAGGTTATTTTGCTCATGATTTGTAATCCAGACATGCCTCTCATCCAAATATATACACAAGAAATGTCACAGAGAAATTGTTTGTTTTTGTATCCGACCAAAATTCAATTTCTCCAGAGCCCTTTGGCTTCAGACTTAAAAGTAAAACACAGCTTGCGTTTCCTGCATGTGTAGACCTTTCAGTTTCCAAGCAAGTTGTCGGCAACAAATCAGCAGCCATTTGAACCTTGTGTTTTGTATGTGCAACACCAAAATAGTGCATTACATGGGACAAAGAATACCTATGATTCCATTGAGTTTTTCTTAGCCAACCTTGGCCCACAATTTGGACACAATCAGGAAACCACAAACTTATACGACTTTTTAATAGTGGACTTAATTATGGACAGAAACCTCTGGACCCCAATTCATTGTAGCAAATGTTAAAAAAAAAACAAGGCCACATTACCTAATTTAACATAATTAAAAGTATTTAATTTTTTGTCTGGAGAAACTGCATGGACATTGTAAGTGTTCATGTAGTAGGAGACTGAGGACATTAATGGATAGTTGACATTTTTTTGCGATGCATCTTTCACATAAGTTCTTTGTTTTTCATTGTTTAAGAAGTGTGCACCATGGGTAAGTGAACTTCAAACCTCGCTTTATCAAGTCAGTGACTCCTGCCCCAACAGTAATGTTCAGTCAAATCCATCCATCTTATTTGACATGGTTGATATTTGCTGTACCTGTATAGAATATTTCCCATTCTCATAATAACCTGTATACACAACAAGTCAGTGGGAATCATGTGTTCTTTTTATGTCGTCTACATAATTCATTTGGTGAATTTTCTCTTATGTTATTAATTGAATAGCTCATGATTTTATGCTCTGTGTGTGTGTAGGGGTGAAGCCATTCGCTTGTACCATGTGTGACATGAGGTTTTTTCAGCGTTACCACCTGGAGAGACACAAACTCACTCATACGGGTATGCGTCCATTTACCATACCCAGTCTAAAAAAAAGAAAAAAAACTCAAGTCATTCACTTACTTTCTTCAGACCTGGATTTCTTATTTAGTTTTAGACGAGACTAGTTTTTACTAGTTTATGTATTGCATATAACAAATATTAAGCTTAGTAAAAAAATGTTATGAATAGAATAGAAAAACTGTCTTGTCAATAACTACCAGTTTTAGACGAGGATATAGCACCTGATAATTATCATAATGTTCTAAAATTCAGTGATTTTTACTTTGAAACATCAAAAACTGTAGGCATTGGTTTCTGCCACACACTTCAAACAAGTAAGGACAGAGAGGTAATACTGATAAAAAAAATTAAGTAGTTTGCCAAACAGGAACAGTTACATCTTTTTTTTTTTTTTTTGTTTTTACCAGTTTTTGTTATTGATGCATGATTTCCACTTGTGGACCTTTTGTTGACAATTTGTTCATCATCTTCCATGCTCAGATTAGTTTTAGGTATGTGTTGTGGCCACGTAATGACAGCATAACAGTCATTCAAATGACCAAATTCATGCATATTCAGCAGCAGTTTCCACTTTGGACCATTATACAGTCTTATCTTAATACTAATAGTGTCAGGCGTTTGTTGATACTGTTATCTTGTATCCAGACTTTACTAGGTAATACAGAGAAGACAGCAACAACATTTTCTTGCATTGAGAGGCTGAGCCCTTTGTGGACAATTTTATAATTTTACTGTTATTGATTAAAACATGCCCCAGAATTGACCTCTTGTGCCCTTTTTAGCCTTACTCTCTCTGTCACTACTTTTTGTGTGTTTGAGGCATCAGTTTCCAATTTTGGCTTAAGGACCAGCTTCCTGTAAAAACACTAGAAATCCACAGTTCAAGTTTCTTACCAAACTACAGGTTGCTACCTTTATTGTGGCTTTTAGCTACATATGTCTTGCAAATTGATAACAATGATCACATTGGAATGTTTTAGGTCTGTTAGTTGGGTTAAGGTTGCCCAGAAATTATTAGTAATGTCTTTCAGGTTGTAGTAGATAAAGATTTATTAATGATGTGTCCCTTTGATGTAAAAGGATCCACCTAGCTAATATGTTGATACTTTGTGTACGTAGGGGTGAAGCCGTATGCTTGCTCCATGTGTGACATGAGGTTCTTTCAACGTTACCATCTGGCAAGACACAGTCTCACTCACACTGGTATGCGTCCGCTTATCTTAGCGAATGAAGTAGAAGAGATTTAGAAACATGTCTCAAAAAAAGTTTTTGTGTAGCAACAAATCCCATCTTACACATGTAGGGTTTTTAGTTCAGCAATGGGAGTTGAATCTTAAGGTAGTTGATAATCCATGTTAACTCTGTTTAATTTTTTATACACATTGAGATGTATCCAGACATGTACCAGGAGGGATAAAATAATATTCTCCCATTCACCACAGCACACATTTTTCTCAGATGATTAGGACTTAACTGATAAAATGTTTCAACATAAATGAAGATTTTTTTCTAGATACGTTGGTCATTATGTGATGAATCCTACTTTCTGTCTGTAGTTTTTTATTTACATACTTTTGTGTGTGTAGGGGTGAAACCTTATGCTTGCTCCATGTGCGACATGAAATTTTTTCAGCGCTACCACTTGGCAAGACACAGCCTCACTCACACGGGTATGGGTAGGCCCTTCTTTATTACATTAGAGCCCAAATACCCAATTTGCTTCATTCAACATGCTTGTAGATTCATTCTAGTCTGGTTTCAAAATTAGATCTGAACATCGAGACTTTGAGAGAACAGATAGACATGATAAGAATGCTTTGTGGGCTTAGACAAAAATATAAAGAGTAGTTGAGGGTTTTTGAAGTGTGGTTGTATTGAGTTATGGAGACAAGGTGACACTTTGTAAGGGTCAAACAAGTACAGTAACAACAACACAATACTTACAGCTTGCATTATAAAATAAGTCTACAGTGTCTAAAATGATGTTTTTTCTGCTGCTGCGTAAACTTAAACAAACTTATCATATACCACAAGTCATATTTATCTGATGCATTTTTGAACACAAAAAAAACAGCAGATAAGGTGGTGGTAGACTGAGGGTTACTCTGTCCACAGTAACTTAATGGCTGACTTAGAAAAGCGTAGAAAAGTTAGTCATCTCCAGAAGTTATCTTTCTGTCAAAAAGTCTCATTGAATAAAAACCACACATCAAAAACCCTGAAACATTCTATAACACCCTATATTGAATTGTAATCCACTACTATATTACAATATATAAATAAGGCTGTACTAATTCACAGCCTGTTATTCAGTCCTTGTTGGGCTAATAAATCAATTGACAATTATTTCCAATGTCCCACTGAGGGTTACTCTGTCCACAGTAACTTAATGGCTGACTTAGAAAAGCGTAGAAAAGTTAGTCATCTCCAGAAGTTATCTTTCTGTCAAAAAGTCTCATTGAATAAAAACCACACATCAAAAACCCTGAAACATTCTATAACACCCTATATTGAATTGTAATCCACTACTATATTACAATATATTAATAAGGCTGTACTAATTCACAGCCTGTTATTCAGTCCTTGTTGGGCTAATTGACAATTATTTCCAATGTCCCACTTGTTAAAAAGAAAATGTGTTACCATGTTTACATTTGGAATGAGTACCCTCCCATTGGAGAGTTATACAAACCAATACATTTCTATGAATTTATTGCATTTTATGGACCAAATGACTGACTGATTTGTTACAAAACAAAACAAAAAAAAACTTACTTGCAGCCCTAGTTTAATTTCTAATCCTGCTTTTGGCATGTCTGGATACATAATAAACCAGAGTGTGTCCTGTTCAGACCATGTGCTGGTTTTACAAAATATTTTGCTCTGTGTGTGCAGGGGTGAAGCCATATGCTTGCTCCATGTGTGACATGAGGTTTTTCCAGAGATACCACCTGGCGAGGCACACACTCACCCATACGGGTATAAGATCTTCTTATTTCTTTCACTGAACACTTTATTTGACTTTATTAAGTGTTGTGCTGCTTATTATAACTCAAAGTGAAATTCTATTGTACTCACTAACTTTGTTTTTATTTTTTTTCTAAATGCAACAACATAACTACTTTAGTAGTGTTTGTAAATTGACCTGATCTTGTCTGCATAGTTCATGAGAACTCTCCTAAAGTCTGGTACTGTATGCATTTAGGGGTGAAGCCATACGCTTGCTCCATGTGTGACATGAGGTTCTTCCAGCGTTACCATTTGGCAAGACACAGTCTCACTCATACTGGTATGCTTGAATTATTGTTCCCCTTTAACTATAAAGTCTATTCTTTAAGAATTTCCCGTTTTAAAATTATTATCCCTTCTTTTTTGCCACAATTAACCACCTATTTGTAAATTGCCTTCAATTTCTTTGTAAAAAAAAAAAAACAAAAAAAACTCATAGGCTTTGTTGGAAACCTGTCCACTGAAAAAGTGACTCTGTCAATTACCTTGTTTTTTTTTAAGACTGTAATGGTACTGATGCATGTTTTTAGGTTAATACATAAACAATGTGTGTTAGTAACTGCAGAATCTGTCACAAAGATTAATAACTTTTCATTTCTGCATGTTTATAGTCTCTTTTTTGTGTAACAAAGCATGCCACAGTTAATGCCTTTTGTTATGCCTGGACTTGTATTGTCTTATCTCGTCTGACATTCTTCTGCTCTGTTTAGGGGTGAAACCGTATGCTTGTACCATGTGTGACATGAGGTTTATACAACGGTACCAACTGGAGAGACACAGTCTCACTCATACAGGTATGTTGTCATTGTTTGAACTGTGTCCCTGTCTCTATCTGTCTGCTTGACTTTGGTCCAGCATGTGCCCACAGTTGTGTTTATATTGCTGCTTCAAACTGCAGGTTGTTTTTGCTTTGTGTCACTCTTTATTGAAAGTTGCTAATGTTTCCATGGCTTATTAACAACAAGCTTCATTAATGCACACTTGACACTGTTGCCAATACCTTGTTTATGAAATGACATGAGGTGAAAACAGCATCATGATTTAAAACTGAAAACTAAAGATTCACCAGTTGGAAATTTGTTTGAAATAATACTCCCAGCTTTAAGTAATTTGTTTTTGCTAAATTGTTATATTTGTTCTTATTTTTCTTCCTTTCAAACTACATCTTTTCCACACAGTAAGCCCACAGTGTGTCCCCATAGGATCTTGAAGTGAAAAGTGTAAAGACAAAAAAAAATTAAATTTAATTAATTTTTAAATAGCAGAAATCAACATTTTGGAAAACGTTTAAATTACAATTCTTCTATACATGTATTTTTTAAATATTTTCCCAGTTCCCCCCATAATGTCGTAAATTGCTACCAGTTCCACATTACTGTGTCATTTCATATTCAGGGTTATGGTAAGAAAAAGAAATGTATTCCTCAGATAAGAATATTTTAGTTTTGTTTTTTTGTTTTTGCGTATTTGTAAACTGTTTTGTCAGCATATAATCATTATCCTGAAATTTCCACCATGCAAATATTTTATTGTAGGTCTTGAATGTTGCTTTTCTAGACACCTCACATCAATATACATAAAAGAATGAGACAGACGTTTATCTGTAAAACCAATGTCTGAAATTAAAGGGGACTTAGTATGTTTTTAATGTAGTATGTGCTGAAATGCAACTAAAATTGTTTGGTATGCTAACATTTTATTGGGATTAGGCTAAATTTGTCTTAATCTTATTTTTGCAGATGGATTTTTTTTAAATATTTAGTTTATTATACTTTGTTTTATTGGGGAAATGGCAAAACTAAACATGTATGAAAGGATTTGCTTTACGTTTACTTTCACTTGGCACAACCCTTCTCTCACCAAGTACATTTTTTTGGTACTTGCGTCTATTTGGAACTTTTTAGCTAGTAAAAGTACAAGGCAGTGGTCACAGCCAATTCAGAGCAGGTATTTGAATACTTGAGTAATCATTAGAGAGTGGTAATTTAAAGATGTGTCACTGTCTGGTATAGTAGGAAATGTCTGACAAAAATTTCACAACTGACTGTTTTAGTTAAATCACTGAAAAAACAATCATGCAACAATTCCTGATAAGCAGTGTAGAGAAGGAAATGAACATAGTGAGTCCCCTTTAATGTGTTGTGAATAGTTGTTTACCAACTGCCTAAAATTGTCTAACCTCTGCGTTCAGCGTGACAAAAGATTGTGTTTGGAACCACATTTTGAGCAATTATCAATGCATCTATTTTGAAAATTACATGAACACAGGCACTGATTGGTTTAGTTTGAAAACAAAACTATAATTGTGCTCTTTGAAATTTGAGATTGGGACTTTTTCTTTAATAATTGTCTGTTCATGTGGAATTTGGGTTTGAAGAAAAGTTTTTTTTAATTTTAATTTTTTATGCAATGTACTGTATAATTTTTTTTTTCTTAAACAAACTTGGGCCGTAAACATTTAGCAGTACAATATTTTTTGACCAAAAACATTGTGTGAGTTTAGGGTAGCGTCGATTTCGCTGAACTTTCCAGCGTTAACAAAGCGCTGATGAGTGCAACCAAACTTTACTAAGCAATTAGTAAAGTTTAGCGTCGATCATTTTTGGCAGTTGAATCCTTCAATGCTAAAGTTGGTACTTTGTGTGCATAGGGGTGAAGCCGTACGCTTGCACCATGTGTGACAAGAGGTTTTTTCAGCGCTACCACCTGGCAAGACACAGCCTCACTCACATGGGTATGCGTCTGCCAATCTTAACCCAGTCAAAAGATTAGGATTCTGCAACAACTGAATGCTTGGCTATACATAATTATATTAATATATTGCATATATACTCAGACTGTGATGGATGAAATATATTTAGCAAGTTGTTAGATAAATTCATTATCTCATGTGTTGTTTTTAATTATTCTCTGGGTGATTTTATATTAAAACAATCAACCTAATGTAGTTGTTTTAGGGAGTAACATTGGTTATTAACCACAGATATTCAATTTAGCGCAGACTGATGGTCTTTAGCTGTAACATAAGAGTAAAGACACATTTATTTTCTCCTTAGCTAGCACAAGGGAAAAAATAATTTTCTTGATGCTCTGCACTTAGGTGTGAAACCTTATGCTTGCACCATGTGTGACATGAAGTTTTTTCAGCGTTACCACCTGGCGAGACACAGCCTCACTCATACGGGTATGGGTCCGTGCACCGTGCCCATGACATTCACTGTTAGGAGTCAGTGTGCACACTTACAATATTGACCTGTGGTATTCAGGAGTATGTTAGGATGTCTTTCATGTAGATTATTTGTTGGTTTCATTAATGAGTAAAGCAGGACAAGGGGAATAATATTGTTGTTGCTTGGGTGTTTCAGTCATCTTCAAATATGATTAAAGTTAAGAAGAATCCAGATTTTGCATGAATTGGCATTTGTGTGGTTAATAACCAATAGGGCAGATATTATTTGGAAAATTAAAGAACAATGAGACCTGAGGCACAGTGATGTAATATTGCTACTTTGCATTTAGGTGTGAAACCTTATGCTTGCACCATGTGTGACAAGAGATTTTTCCAACGATACCACCTGGCGAGACACAGCCTCACTCATATGGGTATGCGTCCGCCCACCGTACCCTTGTCACTGAGATCAGACTATACCTGCATTATGTTAGTCATCGAGTCATTTACTGTAATCGTTTAGTCTTTTTAGACATTAACAGCAGTCAAGTTTCCTTTACCTAAAGTCCTAGCACCGTTTCTGAAGATTGTAGAAACACGAATACAGGACTGCACCATCATCAGCTCATGTGTTGTGTGTAGTTGTGGATATGGAAATTGGTTTCATACATTGGGATGCATTTCTAATTCACTTTAAAGAAAAAAAAGTAACATCAAGCTTCTGTAGTGGTTAACAACCCATCAATTCCTGATGATCACATAGCTAATTTACATGTTGCCTATTGATGGATTGTGAACACAAACGTTACAAAGAAAGTAATACCTTATAATGCTCTGCGTTTAGGTGTGAAACCTTACGCTTGCACCATGTGTGACATGAGGTTTGTTCAGCGTTACCACCTGGCCAGACACAGCCTCACTCATACTGGTATGCGTCAGTGCATCTGTCCCCGTCACTTTTTGTAGTTTGTCACAACAAATGTTACCTTAGCTTAATACAAGTATTTTCTTTGTGATGGCAGAATTATGCAAGTTATTGTAAGTGATTTCTGAGTACAATTTTATCACAGTCACTACAAATTATGCTGCATAGTAAAATGGAACATAATGAAATGTATACTGTCACATTTGATATTCAACACTGCACTGTTGACTTATTACACCTAAACATGATTAGGCAGAAATATCAGTATTGATATTGATAGACTAAACCTGAAGGCATAGGGATGTAAACATAGAAATTATTAAAACAGTGCCTTTTGACAGTGACCGCATTTATTTACAAGTTGATGATAGATAAATATTATAATATTCACAGCTACAGACATTGGCAGTAAAGCAATGTGTAATAACGTTATAGGAAGCTATCATTCGACACGTAACAAATGCACAACAATTGCATGAGTTAGCACCTAATATGTGCTGAAAGTCAGTAGGTCAGTCATGTGTGGTATACAGTCGAATGATACGGGAGGTGAAGTAATACATTGCTACTTTGCGTTTAGGTGTGAAACCTTATGCTTGCACCATGTGTGACAAGAGGTTTTTCCAACGCTACCACCTGGCGAGACACAGCCTCACTCATATGGGTATGCGTCCGCCCACCGTACCCATGTCACTCAGACCAGATTGTATTTACATTGTGTTAGACACAGAGTCATTTCTTTGAGGCCGTTTAATTTAGGCAAATAGCTAGCACATTTTACTTGGTAGGGCAAATATCATGCATAACATGTTTATATGAGTTTTGGAATAGACACACGTCCCTGTGACATCATCAGCTCATGTGATGTGCTAGGTTGTGGATTGGAGTACCAATCTTGACATTTTCTCAGCTAAAATTTGACAGACCTGTGGTTAGCAACCCATCAATTGTACACAGATTTTTAAGGCACACTTATTATTGATAGATTGTAAATCAGAAGGAGAAAATTTTCTGTAATATTAATACATCAATGCTCTGCGTTTAGGTGTGAAACCTTATGCTTGTACCATGTGTGACATGAGGTTTGTTCAGCGTTACCACCTGGCCAGACACAGCCTCACTCATACGGGTATGGGTCCGTGCACCTGCCCTTTTCACATTGTACAAATCAACACTTAGTCTAGACTGTGTTCATATTACAACTACAGTTGGGCCTAAAGAAGAAGCAAAAAGCATCCCCTCAAATAGCCTGCACGTTGCCATCTATTGTAGCTGGAAGGTAGTGCACCTCTTTAAACTGTTGATGCTACTTAACGTGTTGGTGAAAAGACTCAGGTTTACAGTTAGTTTTGTTAAAATGCATTTACTTACACTGTTAGCTTTACCAACTTTTAGTCATCATCTAATTCTTAAATGTTTTTGGTTTTTAAGCTTGTATTGTTTTTAATTCAAAGATATTGTTGCATTGTTATAGCATAATGGAACACATCAAAATATGTTGGTTGAGTTTGGCTTGTTATGCTTGAAGTGCAGATGTTTATTTTTTTCTCTGTAGTCCGTGTATCTCTGTACTTTGTCGGATGTGACAGTAATCTCTTTGTTTTTATAGTAGCTAGAAAATGTGTGGGTTGATAAATTGTCAAATCCTGCAAATTCTCATGTAATACCTAATTTTTTGCTACTTTAATTTCTCCCAGAATTTACCAAACAACAACTTACAACAATTTACAGCACAACAACCTCAGAGTTTTACAAATTACAAATAGAATCTTTACCATTTTAATACAAATATCTACTGCTACTTGTTAGATCACAGCGTCAGCGTCTCTGATGATGATTTTAGGCCAAACGTTTTTTTTCTTTCTTCTAACAACACGTACGACTATTATGTTTTAGCCCTAAAGCCGACAATTGTAGTTCCGTAGAATGTTGAGTAATTATTCAAAGCCATGATAAAGTTGCATGTCTGAACATTTTAACATGTTTTTAGAAGAAAACAAATGCACATTGAATACAGAGTAAAAGCCTTAAACTTGTATGTACTGCACATGTGGGTGGTAGGGCTAATATATTGCTCTGTGTGTGTAGGGGTGAAGCCGTATGCTTGTTCCATGTGTGACATGAGGTTTATTCAGCGTAACCACCTGGAGAGACACAGCCTCACTCATACGGGTATGCGTTCCTTCACCGCACCCCGTTCGCTGAGAGGCTCGACTGATCACGGCACATTGGGTCACATCAAACTCGAGCTTGAGTTGTCAAGTTTGTCAATTTGATGGGATGTTCAACCAGCCTCAAATTACCTGCCCCAGGTTCTGGGGGGCTCTATGTTGCATAGATCTGGGCTACAAAACCAAAATAATTCCACTCTGATCTACACATAATGAGTTGATGACGAGGCCTTTTAGCATTTTTGTTTTACTATTATTTGCTGAAACTGAAGTAGGAAATGACAGCCAATTGTTTTCCAACTCCTTTCGAGTGTTGGAAATGTATTCTTAAATGTAAGATTAGCTAATGTCAAAATTTTACAAGCCATTAGTTGTGACTAAACACTAAAATTGATGCATTGACTGTATTTGTGTGCTCTTGTAGGAGAGAAGCCATTTGCATGTGACGTGTGTGATATGAGGTTTATCCAGCGCTACCACCTGGAGAGACACAAGCGTGTCCATAGTGGGGAGAAGCCTTACCAGTGTGAACGGTGCCAGCAGGTGGGTGTAAGAGCGAACAAGACAATATGTTATAGACCGAGTGTCGAGTGTTCTCTGAGTGTTGCACCTAAGAAATGCCTCAAATGTTCATTTAAAAAATATACATGGTAGACCCACAGCAGGTTTGAATGATTTCTTTTTGAAGATGTTTTTAGTATTAAGTAGATAATATATTTCTGTGTGTTTTATTTGTTACGGTAAGAAATAATCCTGCACTTACTTCACCACTAACTTTGCCCGCTTTGTTCCAAAGAACTTTTCTCGGACAGACCGACTGCTGCGGCATCGGCGGTTGTGCCAGGGTCGCAATGTCCCCAAAGTAGAGAACCAGCCTTGCTGCGATCCACGTCCATATCCCCAAGAAGCTCCACCGGCGCCCCCTACCTGGAGCCCTCTGCACCCACCGGCAGGTCGACTGGCGGTCTGACATTCCACTTTCCTCACATCCACGACAGCGTTAGAGAAGGGACGAGCCACAGGGTTTCTTCATCCTCACGGCTCTGTGCTGGGTGGATACTGCTTTAGCACAGGCTGATCTTGCAGCTCCGGTCTAGGAATTAACTCATGACAGAGGGACATTTGTGTTTTTGTTTTGTAGTCTTTTTACCGTATTTTTTTTTTGTTTGTTTTTTTTTTTTTAAGGCGAGTGTTTTCGTGATGAACAGTGCTCCTGTTTTGTACTTACTCAATTTAGTTTTTTTCTTTTCTTTTCAAAAAAACAAAAAAAAAACATTTTTATTATTGTTTAAATATATATTTCGTAATTTAGTGGTACTGAGGCAGAGCAGTGGGTGTCGTTGAGCCCATTGTACAAACAGCAGACAGAAAAATCCCAGAGCTTCTTTCTAAGATGTCCTTTTGAAGCCCATTTTGATGCCAAAAGGATTGGCACTTAGGTCAAATGAAACAAACTGAACTTTCCTTCAAAGTGACGGAAGGAAACTTCTGTGTTGGAATTCCAAGTGGACCAGTTCACTTCCTGTTACGGTTTAGATGTGTGTCACTTCACTGAGTGTCTGGTCTAAATGTCACTCCAACAACAGAGTTTCCTCGATCTCATCATCACATGAAGTGCAGTTTTCTTGATTACTTTGTGTAGATAATTAAAACAAAATGTTTGTTTTACTGTGGGACTGCACAAAGTGGGCTTAAAAAAAACAACAAACCGATACTAAATACTGTTGAAAAGAGTCTGTTTTTTAGTGTGATAAAGATGGAGCTTCACGACTGTAAACCTTGACTTGTAGAGATGGGAGAGAGCGTCCTGCAGCGGAAGAGTGTCAAATCACAGGAGGTTGTTCTGCTCACGTTGTGCTTCTGTGTCGTACATGACATGGTTATGACTCAGGAAAAGGCACAGGTAGGACGGCGGTCTCGGTGAGTCCTTGTCTTGAGTTGTTCTATAAATATGGCTGTATATATTTTTAGTATATGCAGAAATGTTCAGTGCTCCCAGCTCAGTCTATAGATCCTGCTCTCAAATAGTGGCCACTTGTCCAATTCTGATGTTTGTACAGTTCCTCACATTGTGAGACCAGTGAGAATTTACAAAATCATGTGGCCTTAGTGTTTCTTTTTTCCATTACCTTTCTTTTTTTTTTTTTTTTTTTTTTAACTGTTGTGAGTCATGTATTTACTCAGACAACAGACAACACAGCCGTTCATCCTGGACTGTGTGGTTTTTATTTTAATTTTTTTTTTATGTTAAAGCGGTTGTGGTTACAAATTTTTGACATCTCCAGTGTCGCTCAAACCTGACTGTGCTCTCTCTCTCGTCCAGAGAATAATAAATATTGAATATTTTAGGTGATGTAACGCAGTATCTAATCCTAAAAGAACCCTGGAGCGTTGGACAGTGTATGTGAGCAGTGGTTTGTGCTACAATTGTTTTCTCCTGCAGTGCTTTGGCTGCAGCAGAACCAACACGGGGCTTGACTCTGCTCCACACTAACTGTTGCCTTTTTATCCAAATACGTTGTGGTTGGTGTGTAATAATGGATGTCCGTCATGTCATTGGGTTTAGCCTTAAGTACAGGTAAACACAAATAATCTTTGTAGTACTAAATGATATTGTAACAAACCATTTCTTTTTAACTGATGATGAACTTTGTTACTACTTTGTGGAGGTTTTTGTTTTTGACACACAGATGGCAGATGTACGGTTATTCAGAGCAACTGTGCTGCCTGCTTTGGAATTTCTCAAACTTGATCCTTTGTGTGGCTGAAAAGGCGATGGTGCTGGACTGTGTGTGCTTACATTTTCAGACCACAGTCTAGAAAGTGCTGAGAGAGAGTGGAATATGTGTGTGGTCAGCTTTGACGTGGCCCTAATTCGCTAATTTTGTCTTTGATTTGAGGGTTGAAACAATGTAAAAATATGTTCCTGTCAAACCATCTTTTTCTTTTTTTAAAACTACCGTTTGTTAAAGTAATGATTACTAGTGGATACATAGTTTCCTGTGCTTTGAATACAGAAAAACTCCATTGATGGCAAAGAGGCCAAGTTTGAGAAATGCATCAAGTTGCTCTGGAGTCACTTTTCAAAGTGGAAGTTTCTGGCATGAGCAGGTAGTTAAAATGGCTAAAGGGCAATACAGTATATAGTGACGTCACATGTTAATACCTTTTTTTTTTCTCTTTTTCTCAATTATTGTTTTTAGTATAATCGATCTCATTGTTTTAATGCAATAGAATCATTGAGTCTGAGAAGGTCATTTGTTTATAAGATTGAAATTTGATCAAAGAATTTTATTTGTCTGAAGATTTGTCATCACATTTTTTATGATTGTTTTAAGGACCTTTTTTATTCTGATATTTTAAACACTGGAGTGAAAGGAAAAAAAAAAGATAAAAAAAAGATGTTTTTTTCCTTCAGACTGTACTAGATTTTAGGTTGTAGACAAAGCCTATTTCTCCTCAACATGATGCAGAAAGTGGACAGAACATTTGGATCAGTGCAGTTGAGAGCCCAGTATGATCAGAAATTTTAACATTAGATGCAAAATGTGCTTGTTTTTCTTTTTGTTTGTTTTTTTTTTCTCTTATACAAAGTTCCGGGTATTTGTAGTAAATTATATTGATGATGGTATTAGAAGAACAACAGCATTACAGTAGCTATCACAGATTAGTTGTTTTCTTTATTAGTCTTGCATGCAGAGTTATGGTCCTCAGTTAAGATAGGATCTTGATATTGATTATTTTGTGTAGGAAAATGAGTGCATAAGAATAACTTTCTAAAAAAAAAATGTTACATTATTAATTGTAAAACGGGCTAACTAATATGTACCCTTGTGATCCAACTAGTTTCAACTGTATGAAAATCAGAGGAGAGGCTTCTTATTATACTGAAATAAAAGACTTTGTAAAGTACCTGTTTGTGTTAATACATGTGGTAGGTTATTTTTACATTTCTATGAAATTGGGCCAAGTTAATATTATGTTTTGTTACATTTATCCAAGAACAAATAGATTATGGAGTGATTATTAGTAAATACAAATGAATTCCTTTATTCCCTTGGCCAGACTGTTAACCATAGTATGGATGGAAAAAAGCCCAATCTCCACAGAAATCCTTGTCAAGTCTACCACGAGCATTCTCCACTTCCACTAAAATAAATTCCTGCAAATTCCTTTGTCCTGTTTATCCCCACTGTCCAGAACGTAGTTATCAGGGGATAGTGTTGCTCGGACAGTCAAAATTTAATAACTTATAGCATACGCTTTATACGACCAAACCTTTAAAATGGTTCACTAACATTATTCTCATCAAAAGATTAACCCCAGACATCAGCTTTACAACAGCGTTTAATGTGTGTAATACCAGCAAACATGCAACAGGGGGCAGCAGCCGCTTAGAGTGTAAAGGTAAAATAGCAGAGGAAGAACGTACTTCCGTTTGTCAACAAAACCGAACCAAAAAAAAGCCCCAAACAGAGCAGAACATTTGTGTTTTTGTTTTGTAGTCTTTTTACCGTATTTTTTTTTTGTTTGTTTTTTTTTTAAGGCGAGTGTTTTCGTGATGAACAGTGCTCCTGTTTTGTACCTACTCAATTTAGTTTTTTTCTTTTCTTTTCAAAAAAACAAAAAAAAACATTTTTATTATTGTTTAAATATATATTTCGTAATTTAGTGGTACTGAGGCACCTCGAGTGGTACCTCGTTCCACCACACCTCACTCCTACAGCGATACATTTAAACAAAGGACAGAAAACCGTCCGTTTCGCAGGCGGTCGGAGATGTTCAATGGCGACGAGGATCAGGGCTGTGCTGCCGGGGAGAAGGAAGTGACTCGATGTGTTCGATCAGCTGAACTGGGATTTAAACTGACGCCGGAGCCAAATGTGACGGTGGTGACCCCATCGTCCAGATTCCTGCAGGTGGAACTGGAACTGAACACTCACCTGCGCCGCCTCACCTTCAGTGAACCGGTGCGGTACATCTACAACCCGCTGGAGTACGCCTGGGAGACGCACTGCTGCTACGTGGAGAAGTACTGTCGAGGCGGACAAAGGATCTTGTTCCTGGGTATGAACCCCGGACCGTTCGGCATGGCTCAGACTGGGGTGAGAAAACCGATTTAAATTATTTAACTAATGTTTGTAAAAGTTAAGAAGAAGAATTGTTATTTGAAATCGTTTGTTTCTTACCGAAATCCACAGCTACGTTTAAGACATATTAATCATAAGGATGGAGAGCATTTAAATCAGTAGTAGTCACTAGTCACTAATCTGTCAGTCCAGGTCCCATAGTACTATTAAAACAGCTACACTATTTAGTGTCCTTAATTCACTGGCACCGTTGTCCTAATTTATTTATGACTAACAAATCAATGTTTTTTCTCTGAAAGATAATGTGCGGTTTTAGAAACTTGAAATTCCTTTACAGTTTTATTTTTTCCATATTAAATAGAGAGCCAAATTTTCTTGATGTAACATACATTTTGACCTTTAGTTATGACTATTTGGTTACTTAAAAGAGAAACAGGGTGAGATCTCAACACCATTTCGTCAGTTACTCAGAGTTCCGCAGGGAGGCGATAGACCTGAGACACAACTTTAATTGGTATTTTTGTTGGTACACAGGTCCCCTTTGGTGAAGTGAGGTCAGTTGTTGATTGGCTGAAGATAACTGGGGAAGTTGGTCATCCACCTGACGAACATCCGAAGCGGCGGATCACAGGATTGGCTTGTACTCAGAGCGAAGTGAGCGGTGCACGTTTTTGGGGTTTCTTCAGAAAGCTTTGTGGTGAACCTGTGATGTTCTTCCGCCATTGCTTCGTACACAATCTCTGCCCACTGATTTTTATGAGCGCCAGTGGCAAGAATCTGACCCCGCCTGAACTGCCTGCAGCTGAGCGGGACGCCCTGCTGGCTCTGTGTGACATTGCACTTTGCCAGGTGGTGGAGGCACTTGGCGTCTCCATGGTGATCGGAATTGGAAGAGTGGCAGAACAGCGGGCACGGAGAGCTCTCTCAGCTGCAGGTGTCAGTGTGAAAGTAGAGGGCCTCATGCACCCATCACCCCGGAACCCATTGGCCAATAAGGGCTGGGAGGGCGTGGCCAGAACCAAACTGACTGAACTGGGTGTCCTGCCACTGCTGAGCAGCATCAAACCTGATTAGAACCAAAAGTGGTTTCATACACCACTGTCTTCAACTCCCCCTGGTGCTAATGTATCAGAACTGCAGGACATGTTTTATATACAATTATGGGATGGACCAGAGTTTCATCGGAATTTCAGGTAGATATTACTTTACAATAATTTTTAAGCTAATTTGTCTGTTTTCTGATATACATCCTAATCGGATGTAAGTGTTTTTTAATGTATATTTGTCTTTGCATTAACAAGACAATATAGAACCACTGTACTTCATCTTACTGGGCCTCAAAATCCCCCAGCTAAATGTACGGCCCATGATACCCATACTGTAATTTGAGAACCCCAAATTATGGTATGAGGTCTACACTATTTTTCAAATGCTAAGATTTTGCTCAAAAATGGTTCCAGCGTTCATTACAAAGCTAGCACAGGTATTTTTTTGGTTTAATGTTTCTGAGATGTGAGTAATTTACATAGAAATCTGTGATGTCCTTAAGATCAAGTATTTGTTCTTATATGAATAAGCTATGTCTGTTGGTCAGTTTATAGTCAGAAAACAGACTGTTATACATTGTTTTCTGACTGTAAACTGACCAACAGGCACAGAATATGATGTTTAGCAGTCACAACAGTTTTCTTTACCTTCTGTAGCACTGGTGCCTTCAGGGACTCAGCCATGATCAGATCATGAGCACTTCAAGGTTTTCTCTCAACTGTACTAACTTACCTGTTTTTTTCTGTGCTTGTTATTCACTCTTCAGTCATGACTTCCTTTACAGCAGGGGTCACCAACTCTTACCAGCTACTTCAAGGACACGTAGTAGTACGAAGAGCTACTTGTCTGATACTGACTTCCAGAACAATGTAATATGTTCTTGAACAGACAATAGTAGACACTCTTCTTACCATTGGCATTGGACCCATTTGAATGTCATTGCAAGTGGAACCGATTCCAAAAGCACAGTAACAGTACAATCTTGTTGACTAGTTTTAACATACCCCGCGGGCACCTTAGGTAGTCCACGGGGGCTACCAGGTGCCCCCTGGCACCACGTTGGTGACCCCTGCTTTACAGTATAACACTACACCACCAGAGGGTGATGGTGAGTTTGTTTCTTTGCGATCATTTGATGCTGATTTTGTTCCAAAAATCTCTCTCATTTGAACAACCTGACTGTCCATACAGCATAAAGTTCAGTTATCTTAAAAAAAGTTTAATAAAGTTTATTGTCACTTTAAGGTGAATTGTGTGTGAAAAATAACATTTTATTTGGCATATGTTAAATGTAAATTTAACATCAGAGAGTGACAGTGACACGAGGTATAAAGTGAATCCAGAGCCAAGACATGAATTTGATCAAAACTCTGTAGTGTGACCTGTAGAGGGCGGTACACAGGAGTCAGTGTCACAATGTGAGTTAGAACAGGTTTGATTTTTGGTTAATATACTGATGACACTATTTAATTATAGCTTTTGTTTTAAATGTTTTTCCATTGAAATCTGGGGAATTATGGTAACATGAAACAACAGGGGTTTTTTTATCTGCATCACAGGGAACTTTTCATCATCACTATAAATCTGTGCAGGAGAAACTTTGAACACACATAACAACCATGTATTTTACCATTTACAGTTGATCATCACTGTGATCCACATTATCACGACATTTTAATTTTCAGTCCTATTAAACTGTTTTAAGTTGGTTTTAGAGGAAGGTTTACATTTCTGTACATACTATCTCCTACTGAAAAGTGCATCGACCAATGGCTGACAGCCGCAGGTGCTGTGTCCTATAAACCGTCTCAGCCAATGACAGTTGATGACCTCAGACACTCAACTCCACGTTGAGTGGTGCAACGATGAAATCTACCCCTCCACCCCTGAGTCACCGAGCATCACTAAGAGCCCACATGGTTCAGAAGATATTGTGAAACTCTTGCACCAGACTGGATTCTCCCGTCACTGATGCTCAGAGCCAATCGATCCACGAGAGTCAACAGAGAGGAGAGGACATCGCCATCATAATAAGGTAGGAACCGAGACTTGACACTTTTATCATTCTTTAAACATGAGAAATTAGTACATTTCATTCCTGTTTTTTTTTCGAAATTCTCATTGCCAGTGTGAATTTAGTGATGAGTTAAGACATTTATGTATCTGTATTGTGAAGCAGCATAAAATGGTTGATTTTTCAGGTTTGTTTTGAGTAAGGAATTAAATCAGAGTAAGTTTGACTTAGTGGTAAAAGCAGGTAACAAGTGTACTTTAAACAGACAACCCCGGTTCTCAGTCAGCGTATGAGCTTGTTGTTTATAACCGTACTGCAGGACTATAGGGGACTTGGTGTCACAGTCAGGCTGCATACCTTAACTGTCTCTGCTATCACCTTTCGTCAGCTGCCCTGCTGCAGATCCTCAAACTGTTTTCACACAGTGTTTTCCTGAGACCATGGATAAACAGTCCAGCGTGGTGTTTCGAAATGTGGGGCAGGTTTACTTCCCCCAAACCAAAGTGGAGTGCCATTACACCCTGACCTCTGACCACAAGTGGAGCAGCAGTGACTGGATTGGGATTTTTCAGGTGCAATGTCAACCGCAGACACACACAATTACTGAGCTCTGACCTTTCACCTAGTTTCCTCCTCATAGTAAGGATGCACCCTGGTGTCTGTTTTTGCTGCTGACAACATTTGTTTTTCTGTCTTGTCACAGTTGGGCTGGTCCTCAGTGAAACAGTACCACACATATACATGGGCTCATGTTCCTGAAGGCTACGCTGATGGAGTCAGTGTAAACTGCTGTGCTCTTTTCCCAGGTACAGCTCTGACACATTAGTCACTATCTGCTGTGTTATTGTGGCAGTTCACACACTCTAGTTCATTAACATCATGGGTTTAGGGAGTAACTTTTTAATTACATACTCGAACCCTGGTCTCCTGCACCATCGTCAGAGATAGAACTTTTACCCTCTAAGGGCCCACTCACACCAGGGCCAGTTGGTCCGTGCAGGGCTAAAGTACCAATTGACAAATTATTATTATAATTGGTATGGTATTATACTGTGATCAA